TTGCTTGTACATCAAGGGAAGATACTAGTTTGTTCTCGTTGTACCACCGATACGTTGACTGTACACAATCATAATACCATTTGTCGCAAGAGAACTCTTTCTCGCCATCATTCGCAATGCGATTTTCAAAACTGAGTTCCATTCTCCCAGCGGTCTTGTCTTTGGCAAGCTACGCAACCGCAGATTGTGAATGCGGTTATTCCTCCTCCATCGGCGATTCTTTGAAACACTACGTCTTCACTGACCTTATCGAGTCCGACTTCTTGCATATTCCCAATATCACTCTAGATACCGACTGGAGACGACAGCAATTTAACATGTCGGCGGCGGCTGGACGCGGTCCTTACGGCATGAACTACAGTATTGAGCAAATCGCGTCGAATCCTATACTTGACGAGAATACCTGGTCTGGAAATGGGGAATTTGGTGTTGATCCTGGGGTGCAACTCACTGTCAGCGGAGGAGACCCTGCCAATGGGTTTGTTCAGACTGCGGAGATGGATTCAGCCCGTGAAGATTTACTATGGGGAACATATAGAGCTGCTATGAAGCTGACTTTGACTCCTGGTACATGTTCAGCTTTCTTTTGGGTAAGCTATTCTTGATAAACTCGGGAGCAAATATGTAGTACATACTAATTACGACTCAGTATTTCAACGACAGCCAAGAAATCGACATGGAGTTTCTATCTTCTCAATTCAACGCTGATAACAATACATTTCCTGTCAATCTTGTTCTACAGTCAGTGCAATCAGTGCAGGCTGGCTACAACGCTGCCGTGACAGGTAACTACGTTGTGGCGAACCTTCCATTCAACCCCACTACCGGCTACCATGAATATCGCATCGACTTCATCCCTGGAAACGTCATATTCTATGCTGATGGACAGATTCTGGCAAAGATGAACAGCACAGCAGTCCCGACATCGCCTGGTCATATGATCATCACACAATGGAGCAATGGCAACCCACTGTGGTCGTCAGGTCCGCCACCACAAGATGCCGTTATTTCCATCAGCTATGTGAAAGCCTACTTCAATTCCTCGAATTCGGTGCGTGAGACAGCCCTGACAAGGCGCTGCAAGGACCCCAGTGCCGCAAATGCCATTTGTGCCATTCCAGACCAGATGTCGGCTCCAAACCCGGACGGGACCAATGGTAATGTTTCAGCAAGTACATATTTCTTCAGCAATCAAAAGAATGAGACGAATAATCAGACTGTGTACAAAAAAAGTGAAGCTACCAAGGCAGCAACCGCAGGGCCTCTTAGCTCGATACCACTTTTCGCTGTTATTTCTTTGATCGCTGGAATCCTGCTTTAACGGTCAATTTTAATTTAAAATATTGCGTTCTTTTTTCACATCGATCTTTTTCGCCTTGGGCTCACAAATTCAACAAGTATATGATATAAAGGGCGATAATAGGAGAACAGGAGTTGAGGATGGATCTTGGGGATTGCTTTTCATGGAACCAGAGGAGATACAAATCTTACAAGGAGTGGGTTGAGGCATCTTTGCTTTAGTAGTTGTATTGTACGAACCCTGATGATAAGAGTTGTGTGTACTCATGTTTATATGTATCCAGTCTCAAGGAATAGTGTAGACCAAGGGACCTAAGACGCGGTCATTGATTATTACAATTTTGCTATACATAATGCAGCATATTTGGCAAATCTAACATTTCGGACAATGTTTAGCAATTCATGCGAATGGTGAGGTTAAAACCATGATGCTTATCACATATACTGTTATGCCCAATCGCGATAGGGAGAAAAATCCAAACACCAAAATCGAATACGCCCATCCTCACAACACTCTTCAAAATCCAATTCATATTTGACAGTCGAATAACCTTTACGAAGTTATGTTTTGCTGTTTGGCTTTTCCTCCGAATCATGGGTCCCTGAACACTTGAATAGATTTGCTTCCCAATGTTATTGTACAACAAACACATGCCCATTCCCAACGTTCATCCACACTGATTAAATTAGATCACTTCCTTTTCTTGGCCGCCCGCTTCAGACCCCTAACATCCTTCTTTAATCTAGCGTCAACAATCTTATATTTACCCTTAACACCCCTTGGTCTGCCCGCAATTCCTCGATTACCACCTGTGGCAACCACAACCTTCACATTTTGCCTTGGTTTCTTCTTCGCTGCTTTACTCATCAACTTCCCAATACTGTTCGCTTTCTCCTTCTCGGTCATGCCCTCCTCATCAGCCAACAATGCAGACTTTTTCCTCAATTTCTCAAGTCGTTGCGCTGCCTTGAACTTCTTGCGGTCTTTGGCTTCTCGCACCTTCTTGATCGGTCGAGCGTTCAGAGCTCGGAGCTTTTCTTTGATGGCTGCTGCCCCGGCTGCCGAGATTGGTCGATGCGGTCTATCGTGTTTGCCTTCGTCATCGAGGAACCAGTCGGGGAGACCGTCACGGTCTTTGAAGGCGTATTTGTTGAAACTTTCATCGGCGAGGTCGTACATGGATTTTTGGCCGGAGGCGATTTGCTGGGCGAGGGTCATCGCTTCGGCGGTGATGATGTCGATGTCTATTGGAAAGTTATGTTAGTAACTGCAAGGACATAGGCTAGAGAACTATATACCTAAGCGCCCATCCTTTTTGGGCTCTTCATCTTCCCATTGTGCTTCACCTTCTCTGCGTTTTACAACTTCGAACCCATTTTCATCATCACTGCTGTCGCTTGCTTCGGGCGCTTCTTCCACGATCTCGTCTTCTTCTTCCTCTTCAACCACTCTGCCCTTCATAAGCTTGTCAAGGTCGGCTTGAACTTCTTCATCTTCCTGTTCGACTTCTTCCTCAGATTCCTCTTCAGGTATACCTCCAATGTCCTTGAAGATATCCTGATCGAAAAATTGAGATGCCCTTTTCGAAAGCCCACTCGCGCTCTTATCATTTCGTTCCAGATCCGTCAGCAAAGATTGTTTGAGAGGTTCTTCCTCGTCCGAATCATCACCACTATCCTCCTCCAGATTATCGTTGTCGCTCTGTGCCTCCTCCGCCGAAAACCCTTCCCAGTCACCATCTTCATGCTCCTTCCTTGCCTTCTTGGCGCGGAACTTTGCATCAGCACTTGACTTCTGTTCCTGATACATCTCATACATCGAATCAAGCTCCCTATCAAGTCGATCTTGCTCATCATCGCTCTCACTATCTTCCGAAGCATATCCACCATCTTCTTTCCTAGGGTCCGATTCTTTGAGAATCGCCATTTTTCCCTTCGCAATCTTATTTGCAGCACCTGCCTTATCTATTGCTTTCAGTCCAAACATGGATCCTTCACCATTTGGTCCTGCTTGTTCTAGGCCAATATCTGTCGGTGCTGTCATATGTAACTGCATCCCGGATGATCTCTTTTTGCTTTTTCTCGTTTTCTTTTCTTTTTTCACGCTTTTCTACGTGCACTCTCCTTCTCACTCATAGCCTGGCAGTTCTTTCCTGGAATCTTTAGCTCCTCATCCCATAATCTACTCAGCTACCTCTTCCGTCTCCGCCTTTGCGGCGTTGAGGGTGGTAAAACCAAACTTTTCCCGTACTTTCAGACCCCATTTCAAAAGGTTTCTAAACTCCTTTCTTCCAAGCACTCTTAAGTCTGCACAATCGTTACGAATTTCATCCGTTGTTTCTGGTAATTTATCCAGTGCAGCTAGAGCTACATCTCCATTTGGTGGTTGCACAAAGCTCAGTCGATTCATGCTACCAAGAATAGCAATTGGATCGGTTGTTTGTATGAACTCGCTAGCTGGAATTTCCTTGAATTGTGTCATATTGTCATCTTCGTAACCATCTCTCTTCCTCTTCTTGATTTCGGGGTTGAAAACCTTGGCCTCGTTGTTGGGTGTGGGATCGGAGAGTTCTGCGAAAACATGTCGAGGGTCGACAAATTTGGGATCAAGATGCTTTGGCGCCTTGAACCCTTGACACACAACGAAAATTTCCGCGGAAACATTCCTGGACGAGGGAGGCTTCGTTGCTTCGACCTTGGTGAACAATTGATTGAAAACCCAGAGCAGACTATTGTAATCTTTGGACCTGAAAACCTTTGTGACAAAAGTACCTCCTGGCGCGAGGAATTCCGTTGCAAGCTTCAACGATTGAAGGGCTAACTCCGCTTGGTTGAAGGAATCTTGGACCCAAGCAGTACCAACGTTTGGAGCTCCGTCGTGCAACACTGTGTCTGCCTTCCAGGATTTGAAATGTGTACGAATAGTCGCGCGACATTTCTCCGTCGTAATATCACTCTGGAACGTAATAACTCGAGGAATTGGCTTGATGGGAGAGAGATCTACACCAACGATCAAACTGCTCACTGGCATAGTCTCTGCAGCGACTTGGCACCATGACTTATCACAATGTTAGCGGAGCCCACGGCATATGTTAAAAGAATGTACTTACTCCAGGCGCAGCGCAAAGATCCAGCAGAACTTTACTCTTCTCCAAGAAGCCATATTTTTTATTCAATTGAATCAATTTGAACGCAGCTCTGGCTCTGTATCCTTTCTCCTTGGCAAGTTTATACCATTTATCGAGACGACCTTTACCATGTTTCTTTTGAATACCCATGATGTCCGGCGGCGACGAAGATGTCTACTTGAAGGATATTGGGGAAATATATTCCACTCTCTCAATCCCGCAGCAATGAAGCGAAGAAATTAGGGAAAAAAAAAGTGAGGGAGCTTATCTTCACGTGATGGGGATGATAACCAGCATCCCTACATCTTGCACAACCCCACATCTTGCACATTCCCCATTCATAACTATAATGTCACGATTCACCATTAGGATTGATGGTGTTACGATGGTAGCAAACTGATTAATTAGGAGAGCTTAGGCCGTGTGCAAACACGATCAGATTTCATCGAATTAGTATGTGATCTTGGTCACCTGAAGATCGTATGCGCACGCACCATCAGAAATCGCGTGATAAGGAGTCTTGAGGAGCCAGAAAGCTTCTAGGGGCCCCCTTTATTGTTCAGTATATAGTCAGAGTAGTTTCATAGTTTAGGAGCTTCGTGCTCAATTTAGTTATCAATTAGTTTACCTACATTCTACTTGATCTAGTAACGACTTCACTTCCAAGTGAAGACTAGTGATAAAGCCTTAACCCACAACTACCAATCAGACGAAACCTCAGGCAGCCGCTGCCTCCGGTACAGTATCGTTACATATAACCACTTCAAAATTTAATAATAAATCGAATTTATAAAACATAAAGCTAGAACCTTATTATATTAATAAGAATATATGTTATTATTATTTAGAATTATAAAATCTTCAAATTTGAAACTTTAATAGAATCTTGATTTGTCGTTAGTCTTTTATATATATATTCACTTTTGTTACGAGGTTTGCCGTCTAGATCACGTGGAAGTGCTCTAGGCTCTCGAGGTGGTTTATAACTAGGCGTTAAGCAGGGATTTAAGTAATGACAATAATGATATGCAATTCGTAACTAATAGTAGAGTATACTAAATGATTGATCTTGAGCACGAAGCTCTATACAAAGGAAATCCATCTTGATTATATAGACCTTCGTGTTCTAGCTGATCAGTAGGATCAGTATGGCTCAGTACTGAGCTTGCTGATCCTCACTGAGTCAGTCACATGATATTGGTAACACGTGAGCGTCTTCTTGTTACCCGGCGTAACAATTACAGGGGGGCTGATTTGCCTCTATGACATCGAGAAAGCGTAGAATAATTGATTTCGAATAATTTTGCTACACAAGTATATTGAGGGTGCTCTTGCCCTTCAATATAAGCTAATACAAGCTCTATAACATTTGGTGTGGCTATATTAATGGTAATTTAATTTATTGTTACGACGGCTTCGGATCTCGTATCATGTGACCAATTATGTAATCACATGGTCCCTTAGATCCCCTCGGTCTCTTGATCGAAGGGACCGAGGGGACCAAGGGGACGATTAGCATGAAGGACTATATAATCAAGATGGATTTCCTTTGTATAGAGCTTCGTGCTCAAGATCAATCATTTAGTATACTCTACTATTAGTTACGAATTGCATTATTGTCATTACTTTAAGTCCCTGCTTGACGCCTAGTTATAAACCACCTCGAGAGCCTAGAGCACTTCCACGTGATCTAGACGGCAAACCTCGTAACATTTATATAGTTGATGATTTTTGAAGTTGTAAAATGCATGCAAGATGTGGGGTCGTGCAACATATAGGGATATCGGTTAAGGGGTAAAAATTTCTACGGAGTAGACTTGGGAGACCCCTGCCTGCTTTCGCGTTGATCCACAAACGCGAGCAGGGGATAAACTTAAAGTGGTAACACGTCCAATCGATGATTGAGTTTCGCGTCTCTGAGTGTTTTTATTTGAAGGTGGCTATTTTACTACCAGCTATACTGTTCTGTTCTATATTTCTACCTACTTTCCTTCCCGAACCAAAGATTGCCGACAACTCGATATGCGCATGCCTCTACGTATTCCCTGACAGACATTTGTACATTTATAATTGTTACTTACTTAATTTTACTTAACTCCAACCACGATCATGTCCCTATCGCCTTTATTTGATCCGGTGGACCTGCCATCATTCTCTCCGGACATGCCAATGAGTTCTCCTCAACTTCCAAAGCTTCCCTCCATGATCAGAACACCAAGGAAGGAACGGCGACAAGCATCCATTACACCTAGAAGATTCAAAAGGTTTTTCGACAACAAGGCTCCCGCAATCTCAATGTCTTCACCTTCTGGTCGAGCCCTGAAGGAATTGGTCAATAATCGTCAAGAAACACAATCCAGCCCATTGAAGCCTTCCAACACCATGGAGCTCCAACGAGAACACCGGGAATCGATCCCAACACCTCGAGAATTCAAGAGAAGAAAAACTTCCCACAGCGACATAAGCTCAGACACAAGTTCGGAAAATGAGTGCTCATTTAGAGATCAGATTCGACATGGCCAATCACGTCTTGGCTCCCGTAAGACAATCTCTTCGTCATATTCAAAAGCACAGTCAATTATTGAAGAAGCAGAAGAGGAGAAGCAACAAGAAGAAGAGGAGGAAAGTATTATTGAGCCTGCACTTGCAAAAGAACCCATAGCGCGCATCAGTGCCTTCGAGAATCGAGGGTTGAGTGCGAGGTTATTAAAATTAAGTTTGGGTGCTTTCAGATCGAGACGAGCAAATCTAGCATATCCTATCAATGGTAGTATAGCCGCTCTTGCCTTTTACATACTTATTTACTAATGTCCACCAGATTGGCGAAATGAGACCGCATCATTCTATAGTAGACCCGAAGATGTAAGCCACACTTTGAGTCTTTTGGGTGGTAGGGATAGCATACCTTTTTGTAACGCTGGTCTAAATAGTAGGTGAAGTGACTCGTCCTCCCAAATAAACACACATTGGATGAAATATATCGCATACCAGCATGATTCTCAAGAATCTATTTCGAAGAACCATTTGTCAGATCTGACTTGGGGCATTGAAAAGTGCTATGAGGAATGGGTACCTTGTAGAATTCGCCATGGTCTGCGATTTATTTCGTCCATTGCGTGACGACCAGCAGATAACTAACTACACGCAGCGAACTCTTTGGTAGCTATCGGTGATGATGAAGGACGAATTAGATTAGTAGAATCTGAGAAGAATGGACAGCCTTCATTCAGCAATGTATACCTCGGTTGGCAGATACACAAAAATGCAATTATTGATCTTTCACTTTCCGACGATGATGCTCTGATTGCCACGGCATCTGGAGATCTTTCCGCCAAAGTTTCAGACATGACAACTCAGAAGCCAATATCCATCCTTGCAAACCATATTGCAACATTAAAGCAAGTTAGGTTCCAACCGGGGGCAAATAACAAGAATGTACTCGCCACCTCGGGCAGAGATGGTAGTGTTCAGATTTGGGACCTAAGATGCAAGGGCGATGATGGCCCCATCATGGAGATGCAGAAGCTACCAGGTGAAGATCTTCCACGTTGTGGCAATGTCAACAGCATTCTGAATGCTCATCATGGTTCACATTCGTATGAGCCTAAGCCTAACGCAAATCCGCGGTCACTTTCTACTCCTAAGAAAGGACGCATCGGCGATATATCAGTTACCAGCATCCATTTCTTACCACCCGGCCAGGAGCACTTCTTACTCACGGGATCAGAATCGAATTCTATTGTCAAGCTCTGGGATATCCGCAATTTTTCCAATAAGCGGAAAAGCAACCAGCCAGTTGCATACACGAAACAGATCCCCAGCCATGTCGGCAATCGTCCTTTCGGTGTCACCTCTCTCAGTATGAGTCATGATGGAAGTAGATTTTACAGCGTTTGTAAAGACAATATTGTATATGCATATTCCACCTCTCATCTCATCCTCGGCCATGCACCTGAGTTCGAAAGCGGTAGCGGAAAACGAACAGCTCAACGGGTGGTTCAAGAAGGCTTAGGCCCGCTATATGGATTGCGACACGCCTCTTTTCACGTGGCCAATTTTTATATAAAATCTGCAATCCGGAAACCCGTCAATGGCAATTCCGAACTTCTAGCTGTGGGAAGTAATGATGGAACGCCCATTTTATTTCCCACTGATGAACGCTACCTCGGTACAAAGGCCAATACTTCTATTCCGCTTGACGGCATCGCCCAAGAGCCCCGAACGTTGAGCACTAGTAGCCTTCAGCGATCTAGAAAACTCAACCCGGCGCTTGAGGAGAGTAGGAAAAATACTTCGGTGGAGGAACCAGTCCCTATTTATACACACGGAACAGCGCTGGTGAGAGGGCATGGAAGAGAAGTGAGCTCGCTAAGTTGGACAAGCAATGGTGAACTTATCTGTGCAGACGATGACTGGAATGTTAGATGTTGGAGGGAGGGAAAGGATGCTAGAGATTTGAGAGTGGGTGGAGAAACTGGGGGCAGACGTTGGGGTTGTGGATGGGCAGATGTGGAAGAGGATTATGACGACGAAGATGAGTAGATCAATCTTGACGGGATATCAGGTTCGCCAGATGTGTGAAAAGAGCGTCCTTTTAGCATGGGCTCCAATTTCGTTAAAGACTTCCCCACGAGTTTGTCATGAGGAGCATGGATCGCTTTGTTTGTTCGGCGTATTAGGTATACCCCCAAAGTTCATTATATAGCTAGCTTGCAGCCACCAGACGGTTAGACGATTAGTATATTTTATGTAGCACATTTGGATATAGTGGTAAAGCTTTTTAGTTGTACCACAAAATCAAGTGAATAAAAAATAAATTCTGCAAAAATGAATGCTCCTGGTCTTCATTGACAATTAATAAATCAATTACTTTTGTGATTATATAACATTTTTTCAAAGTCCGAATTCAAATCCGACAATTAAATTGCCTTTCTGGTTTGGAGCCTGGTACCCGGTTTTTTTCTTCGGTTTTCACCTGTTGAAAAAAAAGGTTGTTTTTGTTCTCCTTTTTATCTAAATGTACAGATGGATTCCAGGACGTTACTTTGGATTACAACAATTTTCATGTATTTGACGATGTTATGTGATTCCATGTTTCATAAAGCATGATACTGCACCTATACATTGAGCACAAATTTTCTCCACATCAAAATCTCCCACTTCTCAAATCCACGACATCAAGTGTTTGCTAATATCGTTTTATTACTCATATAACAGCTAGTACTATCTGAAAGCCAAAATATGGACTCTTACTTGTCAGATCCCATAGCTGAGTTATTGACTACATACATCGAACTCAATCCATCCACGGTAACCGTCTTGGATGAGGCGCCTTCAGCCCTTGAGTTTATGCGCTTTGTCTCCTTGAACCGGCCCTTCGTCGTCCGAGGATTCGCTTTAGATGTATGAAAATCCCTCCTCCATTCTGCTTTATTGTACCATTGACTATCTAACCTACACGACTTTCTAATGCTGACAATCATTGACGCAGTGGAAAGCAACAGCTACATGGTCACTGACTCATCTCAAATCCACTCTCTCATCACATCAAGTGAACGTAGCAGTGACGCCCCATGGAAATGCTGATTCCCCTACCATGAATGATGATGGAAACTTAGTCTTTGTAAAGCCATGGGAGGAGTCTCAGCCGTTTCCTGAATTTGTTGATTTCGTCTCACAGCAAGAATTGCGCGGGAGGAAAGGAGAAGAGGTTCGCTACGCTCAAACACGTGGGTAGTATATTTTACAGTCTGTCTATTTGCTAGGCTAGCTACGTCTTGGACAAAAAGAACCGCAGGCCTCAATGAAACACCAGGCCAGCGTCTAAGCTTGCAGGACCATTTAATGGTTAACTTGAACTGCGACGCTGAAGTGTGTTATGAAATTTCGGTATAACAGAATTTTGCTTTGCGGTCCTGTCCATCCAGTGCTAGCCCATAAGTGCACTTTACTGTTCTAACTGTAAGCAGAGAATGATAACCTTCGCAATGAATACTCGTCGCTGTTTACTGATGTGGAGAAAGACATATCTTTCGCCAGGTTAGCACTTCAACAAGATCCCGACGCCATAAATCTCGTAAGAACAGCCCGTCACTCCTTTCGTAGGGCCATATCTCACACGCTACTTAGTGGATAGGCAACTCGCACTCCGTAACTTCCCTTCACAAAGACCCTTACCAGAACATCTACGTCCAGATTATTGGACAAAAACATTTCACTTTGCTTCCCCCCATCTTCCACTCCTGCATCAACGAAGTGTCCCTTGCCTCCAGCTCTTACATCCGCTCTAATTCTGATACTTCTATCCTCACTATGGAGCCAGACTCGCCCCCCACAGAATTACCCATTGCAACCTGGGATCCAGATGTTCCATCTAAAAACCCGACAAAATACTCATTTCTAGCACAGCCAATCCATGTGACCCTGGAAAAGGGAGATATGTTATATCTACCCGCACTCTGGTATCACAAGGTAGGGCAGAGCTGTGGAGACGAGGGAATTTGTGTTGCTGCTAATTATTGGTATGTCTTCATCTTACTTTGATATGGCCTCGTTTATTTCTATTTGGTCTGCCCAAGCGGAAGAGCATTTTCACGTTTCTCTCAGAGATATCATTTAGTTATTTGATAGTTTCGCGCAAGACCTATCTACCGAGAAATGGATAGACTATAGTGACCAACGGAAAAATTGAGCTAACAGACACTTTAAAGGTACGATATGGACTTTGGAGGGAGCTTTTGGCCTCTGTGTAATTTCGTTCGAAATGTCAGCTTACAAGATGACGTGAAGATGAAGCATACGGGATAGCTTACGAACAAGACAAAAAGTCTAATTCTCCAACATTGCTGGTGGCCGCAGCATTTCTTAGCGTTTCAAAGCAGCTAAATGTTTATATGGATGTATTAAAGTGGAAGAAGGGTCGTTAAAATGATGAACCTAGGCAACTAACATGCCTGAAATTGAGCTATCAACGTCTCTGAACCATGCTGGCCAGATGCCAACACATTTTTCATCAAAGGTAACCGTCACGACCCTCTGCCACCACTTTCCATAGTACTCTACCGTGGAACGGAAAAGGTCTTCCCCAAAGAAAGGTTGTGTGCTTTTATCCCAGTCATGATTTTGTCACATGCATCTGATTTTTTGATGCGATTAGATGATTTCCCTCTTCATGATTTGCCCGTATGCTATGCTAGCTATTTCTCCATAGGGCTCTCCTCTTACCCATGATCCCTCATAGCCTCTACGTTTAAATTTGGCCACGCACAGGTAGCTGAAAAACTTCGCGTTCTGGCATTTGATGTTTAGAGTTTCGTAACGGTTTTCAATATTTCCAATTCAAGTCTGACAATCAAGTGATTTTTGAAGTTCAATTGGAAGTGTTATTTCTTTGGTGTTGCGTCTGACTTCGTGCATTGAGCGCTAGCATAGGCTGGAAGTCTCTTCTCTGAATCAACGATCACCCTGCTGCACAATGTGATGACATGGCCTGATCTCCTAGAGCTGCGACGAGTAAGCATAAATAAAATAAAGGTAGATTGTATGTGATGCAGCGGCGAGTGGATCCCGTCAAATGTTTGAGTCTGGTCCAAGTATGGATGTTCATGAGTAATATAGAGTCAACTACAAAAATGAACACCCGAAAGCAACCAGTATGGATATCAAAAGTTAGATTGAAAACGTCTTAACCCCGAAAAACCAAGTCCAAGCCAACGCCTACGCTTCATCCCATGCCATGGTGTCCTGCTCTCTAAATCCTTATGTATGTGTATATGCAATGTCACGCCTCCCCTGTCCGAAACGCAATCCTATAATACAGCATTTCTAAAACTCCCGAACCGATATATAACGCCGTCTCAAGTTCATAATTTAGATCTAACCGCCTCCAACCTGTACTTCACATCTTGTAAGACTTTAGTACTAGGTTTCCAATCATCGAATTGCTTCAGTAACTCTACTGCTTCACTGTGCAGTTCTGTTTTTACGAATTCTTCCTCGAGAACTCCTCGCATGATCCAGGGCAAGACGTAAGGGTTTGCGTTCGTAGGCGGCGAATATTGAGATATATGCAGAGGGACGTCGGGAACCGAAGTAGTGGCAAGAGCATGATCCATTGCCATGCTGAAAAACACATGTTAGTAAAATAGGTTAATCGATATCAAAGTAAGAGGTCTTACTCATATACTTTGTCATCATCGTAGAGACGAGAGTGACCACCACCAGTATAGAGGCTCCCAGCCAGAGGCGCCGAAAGCTCACGAATAAGTCCATGATCTGACACACCAAGATTGCGTAATTTCAACGCGAAGCCGACTAAGTGGGCAATAAAATCCGGAGCATGTATACGTCCATCTACAAATACAGCTCGGTAAATGTAAGGATGTTCTGCAGGCGAAAAGACGGCAGACTGGTTCACTGTTAGTAATGAAAGCAATGAAACATGACAACATATGCTCAACTTGCCTCAATAGATACCAGCTGGTCGTCAATACTCGCACAAAATGTTATCCTTACTCCATACTTCAAGACTCGTCGAAGTGCCTCTTCATAATGTTTTGCGACATCACTTTCGTAATTTGCAAACTCGAAGAGTTCTGTTATCATATCGTTGAATAATGCTGCCTGGTATCCAGTTTGGTGACTGGCAAACGGACCTAGTGATACACCAGCTGGTGAATCTGTTAGAGATATTTTTCACGCGAGAGGCAATTCTCCCATGACTTACCCATTGCACATACACCGATCCTCGCTGATGATACTATGCCCTCTTCTATAAGTTTTGCTACAAGCATCAAAGCAACCGGCACGCCTTGTGAATGAGCAGCTACCATTATAAAATCTGCTTGTCGCAATCGATCCGTCCAATTACTGAGCAGTTCCCAAAGTTTATCCACCCTCTCGAAAATTTTACCTTCGCCATCAAGTGCAACTTTCTCTATTTCACAACCGGGAGACCCATTTGCATCTGTCCACCGCCTAATAGCAGCCGCGGCGTGATTAGCAAATCTTATCGAAGTCCCACTAGGCTGTCCGATGAGCTTGCGCAGTAGAGGTGCAGGAAATAGTCCATGAACACCTATCGCGACTGCATTCTTGATCTTAGGTACTTCTTTTGCCAGAGCTACATGTTTTACGGGCTTCTGTCGACCACGTACGATCAATCTTGTTAACTGTCGTAGAATTGATGCATTTTCCATCAGATGGTAAGTACTTTGTACAGATGGTAGTATTAGATTTGGTGGAGATGGACTCTGAGGTGAGGTTGTGACTTTCTTCGATGCATCATCGGATTGTGCACTTGCCGTTTTTTGAACAATTTCCTCTATCTCCACAGACTTTGGACGACCCTTTTTTCCAGGTTTCGACTTTTTGTCGCCTTGGGCTGCCTTTACGTCGGCAGCTGGAACAGTTTCGACTGCCAACGGTTGATTCTGAGACTGCTCGCCCGAAACTGCTAGCTCGCCAGTTTCCTGACTTTCGGGAGGATCTGTAGCTTTTTTGGTGGTGTCGGAATACCAAAAAGCCGACGCCCAACTAGACCCACCAGGTTGCGCTGTAGATCTACTGGGTGTTGGGGGTGCAGGCTTAGATACATCTTTTGATGCATCTTCCATCACGACAGGGTTTCCCTCAATGACTTGTGTCGAAGGTGGTTCTCTTGGACCTTCTACGGGCACTGGAGCTTGAGGGGCTGGCCATAAATTGAACCATGACCTCGATGCTAATAAGTTTTGTTTTGGAGTCTCGATCGTTTCGTTCGCAATTGTCTGCTCCGGCAAGGTTATCTCGTTTGAAAAGGCTTTTTTGGTATTTTGCTTTTGAGGCTCTTCCACCACGGGAAAGGATTCTTTTGACATTTGCAATGGCATGCCTAACCAGCCTAACCAGCCCTGAGAGGATATCGGCTGTTGTGCAGTTTCATCGATCGGCGAGCTTTTCGGTTTTGTTTCTTTGGATGCATCTGACTCCGTCAAAGATCGGGTTTTGGGTGTTTCTTGATTCAAAATATCCTGTGGTACATTCTCGTCTTTCTTGGTGTTTATCTCATTGTTCGGAGCCTCCTCCGGTGGAACGCCCAACGTTATTTCGGATGCTGGTTTGCTTTTACCCAGGTACATCGATGGAGGTCTGGATGCGACCGATGAAGGTTTTCGTTGATCGTAATGGTTAATTTCTGTCGCCATATTCCCGTTGGATGTTTTATCAGCTGAAATTGTCTCCCTCACTACCTGTGTAGAAACAGTGGATTTACGCAGCCACGTTCCATACCAACTTGCCCTCGATCCGAGCTTTAACTTGTTAGTCTCACTACACCGACAGAAACTCGTCTCAACAGCAACGAAGAGCACGGTTATCTTACTTGTTTCTTAACAGCTGCGGCATGCTGAACGTGATTGGGAGGAGTAACCCCCTGGTCCGTGGTATCTTTTGAGGAGTTCGTCGACTGCTCCTTGGAAGAATCTAGCTTTGATCGTTTGCGTGAGGGTGGCATTCCAAAATGTATTTCTCCTGACTGTTCGGATGATCGATTCTTAACCTCCTCCAGGGGCGCGTGTTCTATATGGGTGAGTTGATTCAGAAACCTCACATCACATTAACATGTACCGTCGCCCCGCGTATGACAAGGTTTATTTGCCCCCTGCAAGGGTGTTTGGCTTCGTCGTTATTGTAGCACGTCGTAATGATCTTTGACAATTCGTCCAAAATATTGAGGGAAAATGTGTAATAACCTTACTGGCGACAGATAATAATGGGAATGGGGAACCAAATGGAGAGGAACCAGTGAAAGTATGGGGTACCTGCAGAATTTGGAGGGTGTTGATTAGGTAGAATGCTAATGGTTTTAGGTACTGGTAACCAGGACTAGACTGTAGGACTGGGCTTTACGACTAGACTGTTTTGTTGTAATGAAGCTCAGCTACACAGTATTACCATGTGACTGAGTCCTAATCGTAATAATTATAATTATAATAAATCAGAGGGCCAAAAGGAAATCTATTTATAAAACAATAGAAGCGCAGGAAACCTCAGAGTAGTAGGTAAGAGTCTCAAGAATAGAGAATCGAGTACAATTGAATTTCATATCACTATAAAGACAAATCAAACGTGAATATGAATACCTATTAGGGGCTCTTTTATGTTATGCTCTCTTGAATGCGCTGTGCTCTGTACAAAACGATTGATTACTCATTCATTTATTACCCAGATAAGCTGCTTTGCTTCATCCAGCCTTGTCAGCCTTGTAGACTCTGAAAGCCTTGCAGATCGATGGATCAACTCAGTTTAATCCCTGTGATTTTTTATGAAATTTTCCGTGATGCCGATATTGATAGGGAAAAAAAAAAGTTGTGAAGCTCGATAGTCATCCGTCGTTCGTTCTTGTGCTACTCCAATATTTCTTTCCCTAATATTCACAAACTGTTTTTACCAATTAATAACAATGGCGCCATTCGAGAAGAAAAGAAAGACTGGTCCCACCAATGATTCATTTATGCGATCGAAAAAAGCTTCGGAATCCGATGATCGACCTTCGAAACGACCAAGAGCGGGAGAGAAAGAGGGTACAAGTACATCTACCACAAAATTACCTCCAGCGACCAAAATATCTCGGCCTAAGGAGGAAGAAGTCGCATTTCCAAGAGGTGGTGCAAGTGTTTTGACCCCATTGGAGCATAAACAAATTCAGATTGATGCTACTAGGGACGTTTTATTCGAACAATATGGAGCCAAACCTTCCAAGCCCGATGGAGAAGTTCAAGAGGGCGAGGATACTTCAAAAGTAAAGAAGAAGGGAAAGGGTAAAGGCAAGGGTAAAAAGGCAGCTCAAGATACCGACGTCGAAGAAGAGGCCGTCAAGATTGAAGGATTGAGCTATAAAGTACGTGCTATAACCACTTAATACTAGAACTGGTTATTTGCTCACAATTTGCAGAGATTAGTGCCTGGCTCTTTGGTACTTGGCCAAGTGTCACAGATCAATGCTACAGATATTGCTCTATCACTACCAAATAATCTGACGGGATATGTGCCCATTACTTCAATTTCCGACAAGGCTACGGAACGGATTGAGGCGATCGCGGCGGCCGAGGAAGATGATGTGGAGGACGAGCTCGAGGTGCAGGATATTGATTTAAAGAAGATGTTCTCAATGGGACAGTACCTCAGGGCATATGTTGTTTCTACCAGCGATGATACAAACACTGCCACGCTGGGAAAAGGTAAAAGGCGAATCGAATTATCCCTCCGACCGCAGCATGCCAACAACGCCGTCACTTCACAGAATCTCATTGCCAACACCACTTTAATGGCATCTGTTACAAGCGTCGAAGATCATGGCTTAATCATGAACATTGGACTTGAAGATTCTGGTATTCGTGGTTTCATGGGCGCAAAAGACATCGGCCACGAAGTCGTGTTGGCGGATGTGCAGGAAGGCGCCGTGTTTCTGTGCATGGTCACTGGCCTCAGTTCCAATGGAAAGACAGTCAAATTATGCGCCGACACTCAAAAGATTGGCAATTTGAAGAAATCAAATTATCTCACAGATGCCCCAACGGTGGATGCTTTTCTCCCGGGAACGGCGGTCGAGATATTGATTGTTGATGTCAGCTCAAGGGGCGTCACTGGAAAAGTCATGGGTATGGTCGATGTTACTGCAGATTTGATGCATTCGGGCACTGGTGTAATGAACCAAGAGCTAGAAAAGAAATTCAAGATTGGTGCCAAGGTTAGAGGCAGAGTCATTTGCACTTTTCCAAATTCTGACCCTCAGAAACTTGGTGTCTCTCTTCTTGACCATGTTGCATCGCTGTCCCCCCAGCAAGCAGGAAAACCGGGAAACAAAGTAGATCCACTCGACGCCTTGCCTTTGTCTGCCATCATAGAAGAAGTTACAATCAAAAAAGTCGAGTCTGGAGTTGGTCTTTTTGTGGACGTGGGAGTTAAGGGTATCCCTGGCTTTGTCCATATCTCTCGAGTGAAAGACGGCAAGATAGAGACTTTGGAGGAGACAACAGGCCCCTATAAAGTAGGGTCGGTTCACCGAGGTCGCGTGCTTGCCTACAACTCCCTCGACGGTGTATACCTTGTTTCTCTGGAAAAAAGCGTTCTGGAACAGGCTTATCTGCGGATTGAGGATTTAAAGGTTGGTGAGGTTGTGAAAGGGAAGGTTGAGAAGCTCATTGTCAACGCAAATGGTTTCGGCGGACTACTAGTTAATTTGGCAGAAAACATCTCTGGACTCGTGCCGGAAACTCATTTGGCGGATGTGCAATTGCTTCACCCCGAAAAAAAATTCAAGGAAGGCATGTCCGTCACAGCACGTGTTCTATCCACAGACCCTGGAAAAAGACAGATTCGGTTGACACTCAAAAAGACACTCGTCAATTCCGAATCGCCTGCTTTCACCTCGTACGATGGCATAATCGTTGGAATGCAAAGTCCAGGTACTATTGTAAACATCATGAACACAGGTGCGGTCGTCCAATTTTACGGCAACATTCGAGGATTTTTGCCTGTCTCCGAAATGAGCGAGGCCTACATTCAGGATCCCAGTCAGCATTTCAAGGTTGGACAAGTCGTTAACGTTCATGTTTTGAAGGTTGATCCCGAGTCTCAGAAATTAACGGTCTCCTGCAAAGATCCCTCCGTTTTCGGGCTAGCACAGCAAAATGCGTTGAAGAATCTCAAAATTGGCGAGATTTTGTCTGCTCTCGTCATAGAAAAGTCGAACGACGACATTTCTGTTGAAATCCAAGGACTAGGTCTGAAAGCAACACTACCTGTTGGTCATCTTACCGATGGATCGGAGAATAAAAGCCGTTCTTCTTTCAAGAATATTCGAGTCGGCCAGGTATTAACAGATCTTGCTGTATTGGACAAACATGAACAGAGACGTTTGATCGTCTTGACGAATAAGCCAGCACTTGTCAAAGCTGCTCAGAGCAAGACTTTATTGAGATTGTTCGATGATGTGAAGAAGGACAGGACTGTGCACGGTTTCGTTAAAAATATAACCTTGACTGCAGTGTTTGTACAGTTTGGAGGCGGGCTCACTGGACTTCTACCTAAGAATATGATACCCGAAAAGAATCTTCGTTTACCAGATTTTGGATTCAAGAAATGGCAAACAGTAGAAGTTAAAGTCATCAAGATCGACAATGGACTGCGGAGATTTCTTTTATCTCTGGCTGATGCTACTTCTGACAAGAAACCTCAAGAAAGTTTAGCCCCCGGTACCAATCAGGACGCCGTAAACCCTGTTGATGAAACCATCAAGAGCATTGATGATATCACTCTGGGCCGACTTACGAAAGCAAGAATATCTTCCGTGAAGGATACCCAGGTAAATGTACAGCTCGCCGACAATATTCAAGGTCGAATTGATGTGTCGCAAGCTTTTGATTCTTGGTCAGAGATAAAATCCAAGAAGCAACCTCTGAAGTCATTCTCTCCGAAGCAGATCATCGATGTTCGCGTTTTAGGCATACATGATGCGCGTAACCATCGTTTCCTGCCTATCAGTCACAGATCTGGCAAGACTCTGGTCTTTGAACTGTCCGCTAAGCCCAGTGATCAAACCGAGGCTGCCCAGGACCCCGTATCTTTGGATAAAATTAAGCTTGGCTCTTCTTGGTTAGCATTTGTCAACAATGTTGGAGCCGATTGTCTTTGGGTTAATCTATCTCCTAATGTCCGTGGCCGTATCAGCGCCCTGGATGTATCAGATGATGTATCATTGCTCAAGGACCTGGAAGCAAACTTTCCCATTGGATCTGCCATCCGGGTTCACGTCAAGGGCGTGGATGTTGAAACGAATCGTCTAGATTTGTCTGCTCGCTCTAGTCAAGATTCTGAGGCCCTTACTTTTGATAGACTAAGCAAAGGCATGATCGTACCAGGAAAGGTAACCAGAGTCAATGAACGACAGGTCATGGTACAAATTACTGATAGCATATCTGCGCCCATCAATCTTACGGATCTTTGCGACGATTTTTCGGAAGCTGATCCCTCAAAGTACTCTAAGAATGACATCGTTCGGGTTTGCGTCACTGATCTCGATATTCCCAACAAACGTGTGCGGTTGTCAACTCGAGCCTCTAGAGTGATGAACTCCTCGGCGGCGGTCCAAGACGCAGAGATATCATCAATCTCGCAATTGAAAGTAAATGACATTGTGCGTGGATTTGTCAAACACGTCGCTGATAAAGGGCTTTTCGTCAATTTGGGTGGTAATGTGACAGCATATGTTCGAATTTCGGACCTTTCAGATTCTTACATTAAAGACTGGAAATCGGAATTTCAAGTCGACCAGTTAGTCAAAGGTAAGGTCACAGTTGTTGATGAAGTTTTGAACCACATTCAACTGAGTCTTAAACCTTCCGTTATCGACAAAGATTACATTGCGCCTCTGACATTTAACGATATCCACGTGGGCCAAGTTATTACCGGAAAAATTCGTAAAGTCGAGGATTTTGGTGTCTTTATTGTCGTCGATGGCTCAGCAAATGTGAGCGGCCTTTGTCACCAAAGTGAAATGGCCGAAAAGCGTGTTCACGATGTCAAAAAATTGTACTCCGACGGCGATGAAGTCAAAGCTATCGTATTGAAGATGGACCCCGAGAAGAAACGCATCAGTTTCTCCATGAAGGCTTCACACTTTGAGGACGGAGAAGAGTCTGACGATGGGAGTGAGGATGACGGTGTAGAGGGCGTCAAGCTCGATAACATGGATCTCGACGACAATGATGATGAAAGTGAAGGCGGTGTTGAATTTGATGATGTGCAAGATCTTGAAAGTGCTACGGAAGACGCAGATGAAGCCTTCGATTCTGACGAGGAAATGCAAGATGTTGGGGATGATGTTCCGGCTCTTAGTGCTGGTGGATTTGACTGGTCTGCTGATATCCTAAACCAAGCAGATGGCCAATCTAACGCCGATTCGGAAGAAGAATGCGTTGAAGAGAAGCCTAAGAAGAACAAGAGAAAGGCAGAAATCAAGATCGATAGAACGGGTGACCTTGATGCCAACGGACCGCAATCTGTCAGTGACTTTGAGCGTCTCCTTTTAGGTCAGCCAGACTCTTCCAGTCTCTGGACCCAGTATATGGCTTTCCAGATGCAACTCAGCGAGCTAGGCAAAGCTAGGGAGGTCGCCGAGCGTGCCATCAAGACTATTAATATGCGTGAGGAAACCGAGAAGCTCAACATTTGGCTTGCTCTTCTCAATCTGGAGATTGCATATGGAAACGATGAAACCGTTGAAGAAGTATTTAAACGAGCTTGTCAGTACAATGACGCCCAAGAGGTTCATGAGAGATTGGCTAGTATCTACATTCAGTCGGGCAAAAACGAGGTAAGGAATAGTCATTGAATTCAGAACACTTACGCTAACAACACTGCAGAAAGCCGACGAACTATTTCAAACTCTTACCAAGAAGTTTTCACAATCTCCTACCGTATGGGTCAATTATGCACACTTTCTTTTCAACACTCTCGGATCGCCTGATCGCGGCCGTGCTCTCCTTGCACGTGCAACCCAGTCGCTTCCTCCACACACACATCTTCCTTTGACGCTCAAGTTTGCTGCTTTAGAGTTCCGCTCTGAACACGGTTCTCCAGAACGTGGGCGCACTATTTTTGAGGGCGTTTTAGCGAAATGGAGCAAAAGATTGGACATCTGGGGCCAGCTTTTGGATCTGGAAATCAAGGCGGGCGATGCGGCCATTGCCAGGGGGATCTTCGAGCGCGTGACTCGAATCAAGGGGTTGAAACCGAAGGGTGCGAAGGGGTGGTTCAAACGATGGAGTGAGTGGGAGGAGGTAAATGGTGACAAAAAGTCCCAAGAGAGAGTAAGAGCCATTGCCGAGGAGTGGGTCAGGAGTAAGTCCGAGAGGAAGGATGATCAGGATTGATGAGCCATTGTGCTGAGGAGAAGATACCAAAAAGCTTTGTGTAGTAAATGCTGCTTAGGAAAAAAGGAACTGGATGATGTAGCGCAAATGTAACAAGCCAATCGAATGTCATCTGTCAAAATGGATGAATTGCTGTATTTTAGGATGTTTATAAGAGTGATGATGGTGATTGCATATAAATGAATTTTAAGACGTTTCTATTTTCAAATGTTTATAGAAGGTCAGAAAGCCCCCGGTATGTTAGAGATCCTTTCTATCTGTTACTTCGAGCCTTCCTGCTTCACTATTTTGCTGTTCCCGTAAAACCTGAAGTTTATCATCCAGAATCGCAATCTCGGCATCAACTTTCAACAATCTTTCCTTCAACATCCCTTCATACTCATCATCAGTTAGTTTTTTCCAAGGCACCCACTTTGAGTTAGTCCAAGTTTCGCCATTCCCCTTCTTTCCGTTTTCTTCCAACCTCATTTCCTCCATCTTCCTCTCGTCCAACGCATCATAAATTCTCTGTCCGACATATCCAGCGGATGCAAACACGACGAGCCCAGGCAGAACATTTTTCGGTCCACGCAAAATACCTCCTGTAGCACCAGCAAGAGAAGCAGCAAGGGTAGTAGAAAGGGCTTTCTCCTGTGGTGTTGGGTATATGCGAGCGGTCTTGTAATGGGAAAGAAGCGCGGTGCGAGTTCCCCAGAAGGTGGTGCCGATAATGCCCCATTGGATAGAGCTAGCGACGGCGAAGAGCACCGGAGTTCGAGAGACGAGGATGCCAGAGAATCCGCCGACGATGGTGCCGGAAAGTGCTGAGGAAGCGTTAGCTAGGGGTTAGGAATGGATAGCCTAGCTAATATGTATAGAGGCGATTACCATGGTGGAATTGTATAAAGATTTTAGGGGATGGGAGACGAGAATAAGTTTGAGAGTATCAAATATTTGCACAAACAGGAAGTAATGCAGACGAGGCTAAAACATACCGGAAAGACCACCGAATTGCAGAGCAGGTTTGATGATATCCATCAACTCAGGAGACAAATTGTCCGATCTGAGGCTCTGAGATTGGTTGATAGGAGCCATTGAGGACGATGAATCTCCCTTTTCTCCAGGAGTTTTCATATCGTCTCTTATTTTCCGAATGGAGCAAGAATTGGGCTGCATATACATAGAATCGGGACTAAGATACCTAGATACCTAGATGCCTACATAAGCGAATGAAATTTATATCACGATACCATTCCTATTTTGACAACACCAACTAGGTAGCCAAGCCAGGTAGGTATTGAAGAGGAAAAGAAATTCACCTACCTAATAAGGATTTGCCCGCAATAGGTATTGGATCTCGTATGTGCTAGCTGACGAGATATTACAACGGTACAGCATACACTGGGATACTAGGTATATATATATATATATATATGTGTACATATATAAGTATATACACTAGCACTATATCTAATTTCTGTCCTATCAAAAAAGGTGTTTTTTTTCTGTAATTTAATTCAAAAGAGTGATTCAATTTCTAAAATGTTGCACGCCTACTGCCTACACCAGGCTTGAGTGTAAACTCACTAAAAACAGCACTAGTGGAAGAATTTGCCCCACTAGTTTCGCGCGATCCTTGTAAAACTTCGCACTTTTGATAATTCTTCTATTTCCATTTTGGATTGATTCCAACCCACGACGAAGAACCTCGACCTATTCGTACCAACACGCCAAAAGATATTCGACGAGCCTCGAATATTTTGAAGAATACCTTACTATCAAATACATACGATCGACTGAAGGGCTTTACAGTACCTTCAATACTCCGTCTTGGACAACGCGCAAACTCTTTTGCGCAGTGTCCTAAAAAAGCCGCAATCATGGGTAAGCGCTCCCCCTCACTAACCCTCCGTCGACTATCGCAACACACGATAGTACTGTCGCTGTGGGTCCCCAAGATGTTGTGTACATAATAGCTAATTGTGATTGTGCCATAGCTCCCAAGAAGAAGGAACAGCAGAAGATGTCCCTCGGGACCTTCTTGGCTGATGAGAGTAAATGCCTACCGTCCTCGCACAATGGCTTTTACATACTGACATCCATATAGAGTTAGGATCATGGGCCGATGAGATGGAGGATATGCCAGTTTGTAAGTACGTTCCATTCCTATGTCATTGTCTAGCCCTGCTAATTCCCGTCTCCTAGCCGGTATGTAATTGCAAACGAGCAAACTGGCCATGGCCTATTGTGCAAGGATAAATGATGACTGACTAGAATAGACTCGCGTCCTTCTGGTTATGGCGGAAACAGCAACGATAGACGTAACTACAGCTCTACTACTGGTACTTATGGCAACAATGCCGGAGGTAAGTTCCTCATCACCTTCCTTCGAGTTACTTTCTCAATATGATCTATAATTCTAATTGGCAATAGGTTATTCTGTCCGTGAGGAACTTCCCCTCCCCGATAAGCCACCTTACACTGTCCATCTTGGAAACCTTTCATTCGACGCCACCATCGGCGATGTTAATGAATTCTTCGTCGGCTGTGAATGTATCAACGTACGCATCATCGAGGATAAAATGGAAATGAAACCAAAGGGTTTCGGATATGCAGAGTTTGGCTCTTTGGAAGGTCTCAAGTCTGCCCTGACTCTGAATGGAACTCAATTCCAAGGACGTAACATCAGAATTAGCGTTGCCGATCCACGTAAGTTCGATGCCCTTTGCATTTTTGCTTTTCACTAAGATATTCTGCAGCAAAGGATCGCGGTGACCGTCCGGATGTACGGGAACTTGGAGATTGGAGCAGAAAAGGACCATTGCCGGATTTGCCAGGCCGTGGGGGGGAGCGTCGCACTTCGGATCGAGGATATCAATCCAGCCGATTTGGCGACGAAGGCGGCGAACGTAGATCCCCTCGTGAGCCCGAAAGTGATGGCAAAGTTCGAGACTTTGGAAACTGGGAGCGAAAAGGTCCACTTTCACCCCTTGCACAACAAGAACGTGCTCCAAGAGAAGGCGGCAGACCACGAACCAACGATGGACCCAGGGCTGAAGGTTTCAGAGACCGCAAAGCTTCACCAGCTGCTTGGGGCGAAGCCAGATCTCAAGGTCAGGGCTCTGGCTCGCAAGAGGGATCCAGACCACCCAGACGCGAATTCCAGGAGCGACCCGCTGTCGAACGTGCCCCAACCGCCGCCGATCAGGACAACCAATGGCGTAGTAAGATGCGTCCAGACCCACCAGCAGCGCCAGCTGCAAAGTCACCCGTTCCATCTCGTGAAGGCAGCGAGGTACCAGCTTCTCCTGCCCTTGCATCAGCCCCAGCTGGTGGTAGACCGAGGTTGAACCTCGCAAAGCGCACCGTTTCTGAGGTCCCTGCCGACTCATCCTCTCCATCTGCTACAGGAGATGCGAAGGCAAGCCCATTTGGAGCCGCTCGTCCAATTGATACCGCCGCCAAGGAAAAAGAAATTGAGGAGAAGCGACAACAGGCAATCAAAGAGAAGAAGGATGCCGATGAAAAGGCCAAGCAGGAAAGAGAGGCTGCCAAGGCTAAGGAAGCTGAGAACAATGAAAAGAAGGTTGAAGCTATACAAAATGAGGGTGGAGAAGCGACCAAGGAAGGAGAGACAATCGAAACCGAGAATGCAAATGGTGAGATAGTCGACGATAAGGCTGTCAAACCAAAAGAGATTGTAAGGGATGCTAAACCAAAACCGTCCGATACTGGTGCTTGGAGACGTCCATCTTCTGGGCCTAAACCTCCCAGAGAGGACATTCCAAGGGGTCCAAGGGGTCGGGGTGATGGTCACCATGCACCAAGAGGCTCAAGACAAAACGATAGTGGAAGAAACTATAGGCAAAACACAAATGGTGGTGGTCAAAATGTAACAGCACCAGCCCAGACTCCTGCTGCTGCAACTGAAACTGCAGTTATGGAAGAGGATGGCTGGAGCACAGTGTCCAAACCCAAGAAAAATAATCGTGGTGGTAATGCGGGCCAACGTGCTATTGCTTCTTAGATATCAAATTATGAGAAGCGTCAACGAAATATTGACAAACCGAGCAAGCATTCTCGGTGCACTGAGCATCTAGTGTCATAACTTTGATGCTTTTAAATGGCAAAAAGCATGATTTCCCGTTCCTCAATTCTCAACGATTTCCTTCGGCGTTGGATCTGCATAAATCTTTGTGTCTAGATTTTCATTATTCCCATGTTTAGCCTCACTGGCCCAGAACGATACCATAGCCTTGCATCATACAAAAAGCTTTTCTGGAATCCACTCTACTCCTCCACACTAGTAATATCTAGATTGAATATGGGTGGCCTATGCACAAATGTTTCTTTGGCGCATGGTGTTCCTGACTGAGATGTTAGACTGCCTGTCATCTCATACACTTGGGTCTGTTCGGGTCTTTTGTGTGTGTTTTGCTGATCTACTCTTCTGTTTTCCAAAAAAGTAAATTTGGGCATCAAAAAGTTATCTATTTCTGGGGAACAATGAATCATCCTCACAATTTCCATGTTCATACAGCCATTTGCTTGCCGCACTCTATCATCCTTCTGAGTTTCGACATATCTGCACATGATAGGCCGAGGGTGATGAGAAGGAATTGATGATGATGATGATGATGATATGGCATGAGATGGCTCTGAGTCTAAAATAATGAGATGCTCTTTTGTGGGTTCCTTATTGTTGCATTTGTAGTGGTACTTTTAAGATTGATATTGGGCATTAGAATAGGGGATGAAAGGGAGGGGTTCCATGAATAAGGCCATTTATGACGTTAAATGTAAACAAATATCAAAATTCTAACCAAGTTATCAATCAAGCATCTTAGGAATTCTTATCAGGTGGAAGTAATAGTAATGTGAAATGTTATCTTTGTGACGCCTCACACCTCCGGGTCACGTGGCATGCCCCGTTTGTATTTAATCACAGGAAAACTCTCTACTCTTGTTTTCCTTCTTCTTTTTCTCCTTAGCTTAGTATTTTCTAATACAAGATACTTTACCCAGTATTCTTGAGTTGTTACACCTGTTGCGATATAATGTCACATGACCTTGAAAACACGTGATGGAACGGTGAGGAACGGACGTTCCTAGGAACAATCAGGAACGCCCGCTCCTAGGAGCAACGACTCCTGAGTAGTCATCGGCACAAAGGTCTATATAATCAAGATGGATTTCCTTTATATAGAGCTTCATGCTCAAGATCAATCATTTAGTATACTCTACTATTAGTTACGAATTGCATTATTGTCATTACCTTAAGTCCCTGCTTGACGTCTAGTTATAAACCACCTCGAGAGCCTAGAGCACTTCCACATGATCTAGACGGCAAACCTCGTAATATGAGTATAACAATCTTTGAGTTATATTAATAGTATATAATTTTGAAATATTTAAATTTAAATACTTATTAAACAATAAAAGTTTCTAGTTTTGGATATTTTCTTATCTAAAAAATCAATATATATATATGTTAAAGTGAATGATTCCTGCGTAGCACATGCACAGAGCACTAGTCCTATTAGGACTAGATTGAGAAGCTACTTTGTAGGAGAGCTTCGTGTTATGAGGTTTGCCGTCTAGATCACGTGGAAGTGCTCTAGGCTCTCGAGGTGGTTTATAACTAGGCGTCAAGCAGGGACTTAAGGTAATGACAATAATGCAATTCGTAACTAATAGTAGAGTATACTAAATGATTGATCTTGAGCACGAAGCTCTATACAAAGGAAATCCATCTTGATTATATAGTCCTTCATGCTTCTATGATCACTGATGATCCTTCATGATCATTAGTGATCATCTATATCGTGATCCTTAGTGATCCTTAATGATCACCAGTGATCACCTATACCGTGATCCTTAGTGATCCTTAATGATCACTACTGATCATTAGTGATCATCTATATCGTGATCCTTAGTGATTCTTAATGATCATCAGTGATCACCTATACCGTGATCCTTAGTGATCCTTAATGATCACTATTGATCATTTGTGATCACGTGTCTTGGTAGTTGTGTAGCCCGTCGTAACACCGTAGAACTTAGATAATGTGTGATTTATATACAAGACCAATATAGCTTCAGTTCTGCCCTATCAGCTTCCCACTATTCCCTGTGTAAGGTCATTCCTTTTTAACAATATATATAATTAAAATAAAAAAAAACTTTTTTATTAAAAAAAAAATAAATAAAAATAGTTAATTTTTATTATATTTTTAGATCAATATCAAATTGATTAATAAATAATAACTTGTTTTAAAAGTTGAATTGAATTCTCTTTAACCCCTATATAGGAATATGGTATGTTGTGAAATAATTGAAAGTTTTATCGATGATTTTCTATAGTCGGTATGTCTATTTTCCTTGTGTATAGTTTACTTGTATGCTCGGCCCCCTCTTTCCGTTTCCAGAATAATCTTTCTAGATGAGTATGATCACGTGATAAAAGCTAGCGTAGATCCCTGCATTAGGTAGTGCAGCCTTCGATCGTGCCTGCCTGCTAGACTTATTTACTTTTTGACATACAATGTTCTACCATCCTACAATTTTGAATTCTATCATAATTCATCTCTTCACACTCCTTGGCTACCCTATCCATTTTGGGATTAAAGCATCAACATATACTAGTCCACTATTTTGGGAAGACCTAATATTTATTATTCGTTCTTTTTCTGGGCCTGCAGGAATGAGTTTGAATTTCGGACAAAAAAATCTTACAATTAAGCCTGTGGTTCCAAAATACAAAATAGAAACCATCAAAGTTCCAAAGCAGTCTCCAAGGCCGATCCTACCCACCAGGACATCGAGTAACAACCTCCGAACTGGAGCGCCTGCGACGAAGGTCGCGGACGCTCGTGGCAGACTGGCTATCTCCACTTCTAACTCTGGCGCGGGAAAGAAAAGAAAAGAGAGAGAAATCAGCGGAAGTCGTGGTGTAGGAAAAAACTCAAATCTGAAAGCTCGAAGAAGTCCAAGCCAGCGACCATTGCAGACTGATAGCGAGGAAGATGAAGAGACTCGCATACCAGCCAAACGGGCCAAATCTGAAAATGTGGAACTTGATTTGGGGAGAAGTCTGAAAGACCAAAAGGCTTTTTCGTCTGACGCTGCTGACAACCAAGGCTCTAAATGTAAAATGATCCATGCGGCCGATGTCATGATGACGAAGCACAGGGCTAAGAGAGGCGAGAAGGTTTGCGATAGAAAGAAGGAAGAGGGTGAAGCCGTTTATTTACGATACCCTAGCGTTCGTCGTATGGAAAGGTGCGCTTCCTCTCTGCAACCTTGCATCTGAAGTAGGACTGAGCTAATAAATGTCACCAAATAAAGATACCAACTCATTTCTGAAGGCGAAGTCATTGATCCTGGAGAGGAAGAATTAATTAATCCTTACGACGAAATACCAAAGATTGCAGAAATTGTTAAAGACGAATATCTGACTGAAGAGCAAGCAGCAGAGTTCCAGCATCCAGAAACGGGCATCATCCGCAAGATTAACAAAGCGACGAACAATATTACTTGGACTCTGGCCAACAAACATAAAAAGCCTTACGACAAAGCGAAGCTGAAGGAGCTATTAGTCGAGTTTCGGAATGCTGTGGAAGTTTACAACGACGCGCTCGGTACTCTCACCAAGAATGGATCCCTGGCACACAATCTGGATAATAAGCATTCACTATCGTCTAAGCTTCTCAAAATGGTTCTTCAGCAAGTCTACGACCGAGCAGTATCTCCCCAAGTTGAATTGACTAGAGAATACCAAAACGGCACAGATTACGTCTACGGCGAGCTTACATTCCCATTCATATCCCGGATTCTCAAGGAAGATACTCACATGAAATCTGATCAAGTTTTCATAGATCTTGGTTCGGGGGTAGGGAATGTCGTCATTCACGCCGCCTTACAAGTTGGTTGCGAAAGCTGGGGCTGCGAAATAATGGAAAATTGCTGTAAGCTTGCTTTAATTCAAAAGACAGAGTTCTTTGCACGTTGCAGGGCTTGGGGTCTCAGCGCCGGATCTGTCAACCTTGAGGAAGGGAATTTCATGGAGAACACAAAGATTCATGAGGCGATGAGGAGGGCTGACGTTATCTTGGTCAACAACCAGGTCTTCAACCCTGACTTGAATCAACATCTTGTGGACTTATTCCTGGATTTGAAAGAGGGTTGCAAGATTGTGAGTTTAAAAACTTTCGTACCAGATGGTCATGTTGTGAACCGCTACAATCAAGACAACCCGATCAATCTATTGCGAGTCGAAAAGAAGACCTTCGCACAAGGAGACGTTAGTTGGCAGGGTGGAGGAGGGAACTACTATGTTGCCACGAAGGATAGTAGCATTGTTGCTAATTATCACAAGTCCCAAGAGGATAGGCAGGTACGGGGAACTCGGGTTAGATGATTTTTGGATTAGAAAATTCAGGAGTATGGCAAAAGGTCCATGGATTTTGGACAAATCGTTTTTCTTGTATTAGTTGATACCACTGGGCAGGTTAGGATCGAGTCGGTATTAAGTAGATGTATTCATAGATGGATGTATTTGTACCAGCGTCGCTACGGGTGCATATCTTACGCTATTTTTGGTGATTTAAGATAGAAAGTAATCGGGCATGGTTTATTGAATCATTACCTGATTCCTTACATTAGGTCCCAAACGTTCTATTCATTTCATCCGCTTCCCTCCCCTTTTGAGCCATCCACCTATCAATCAACTCTTTATTTTCCGCCTTTAATCTCTTCTCATTCTGCTCTGCTATATTAAGCTGCAAATTGAGAGATATCATCTCGTCCTGCACATCATGATACCCCTTAGTCTTGGCCTTCAACTCCTCATCTCTATCCCTAATCTTCCTCTCCATGATATTTCGTTCTCGCGTCAAAGCTTCGATTTGTTTTGATTCTGAAATGCTTTTAGTACGGAGAGCTTGAAGAGAGCTTTCAGCGTTTTTCAGGCGCGATTGGAAGTGCGAAGAGGAACGGAGTGCTTCGGCCAGGGAAGCGCGAAGCTGGAGGATCTCGGAAGATGAAGTGGGCTGAGTTTGTTTTGGATTTTTGGAGGTTATTTTCTGGGATGTCGAAGAAGAAGAGAGGGACGATGGAGTGTCGTGAACAGCTGCTGCCGCTGTTTGGGCGGAAGCTCTGTCGAGAAGCTGAGTATCTTTTGCGAGTTATTAGATTATGGACAAAGTGCACTTCAAAAGGGGTTCCGTACAAGCTTCTATGAACTGACGATCAAATCGCTGATAGCTAGCTTCTTCTCGCTCGTCGCGTTCTTGCAAAGCTTTAACATAGTCATCGCGCCAGGAAGCCATTGTGTCGTTTTCTTGGTTGCTGATGTATAAGTTGGTGAGGCTGCATTGTCTGAAAGTTACCAATGGTATTTCGTCAGTAGATAATCATAGAATACACCCTCTACCTCTGATAGAATTCCACGGGAAAAGTGGAAGTTCCAGTTGAAGTTCCAATTCCAGGTTATAGATATTACAAATTTGTTGGAGAAAAGTGTGGGCTGATATTTTAATTTTCTTTATGTACGAGAATCTGCAAGTGAATGAATGAATGGATAAAGAAGTTCTCATGCATGTGTGACGGGCACCCATACAGTAAACTGGTGAACCTTCCTTTCAAGTGGTGGTGTACAGATGTAGGTGGTTGAGTGGAGTGGCCCGTGGAATCTAGATAAGCAAAAAGCCAAAGCTGATAGGGTAAAGCGGCCGGCGCTAGCGGGTTTCTGACGATGGGTCGTTTTAGTGAGTGCACGAGGCAAATCACCCTAAAGCTTAAGGTTGCCGATGTAATGTTGAATGTTGAATGTTGATGTTCCTCCCTCTTCGCTCAAACAACTCAATTACAGGGACTTCCTTAATACATACATAGTCCCATTTCACGAAAAGTCAAACGGATTTCTTTTTCAACGACCGACACGATTCTTCATATTACGTGCTTACGCACCTGTTTTGTTTGAGAAAGGGCCAGAGGAAAGACAGGGAGAAAGTGAGCGCTTCGCGAGGAGAAGAGATCAGATCAAGGAAGCACAAGCAGATATGGCTTCAAGAAAGAAGGTTTTACTGAAGGTGAGGACTATCCCTAGGGCTCTTATCTCTGGTTTGATACTGATGTGAAATTCGCAGGTTATTATCCTAGGCGATAGCGGTGTGGGAAAGACGAGTTTGATGAATCAATATGTACGTTGGACACCTGCCGAGTCCTCCGTCTTTTAACCCTGATGTATATGCCAACACGAGAGACTAATAGTGGATTAGGTCAATAAGAAGTTCAGTGCAAGCTACAAAGCGACTATTGGGGCGGATTTCTTGACGAAGGAGGTTCTGGTTGATGATCGATTAGTTACTATGCAGGTGAGGGTGCTACGCAATACATTGCGGCTAGAGTGTGGTAGCTGATAGTTATATTATAGCTTTGGGATACAGCAGGTCAAGAACGGTTTCAATCGTTAGGGGTCGCATTTTACAGAGGAGCGGATTGCTGTGTCCTTGTCTACGATGTCAACAATTCAAAAAGTTTCGACACATTGGATAGCTGGAGGGATGAATTCTTGATTCAGGCCTCGCCCAGAGATCCAGAAAGCTTTCCATTTGTGAGTTTGGCAAATTTGCTGGAAAGGAATGTGGCGCTGATGATTAAATAGGTCGTTCTAGGCAACAAGATTGATGTTGAGGAGAACAAGAGAGTTGTAAGCTTCGCATTGGGAAGGCATTGCCATATTTTGCTAATGGCACCTTAGATCTCTTCAAAACGGGCCATGACTTTCTGCACTTCAAAAGGCAATATTCCATACTTCGAGACAAGTGCAAAGGAGGCCATCAATGTTGAGCAAGCCTTCGAAGGTAATTAATCCCTCTCCTCTTCGGCACTTCTGAGCTAACCTTCTCTTCAGTCATCGCTAGAAATGCGCTAGCACAGGAGGAATCGGAAGAATATAATGGAGATTACTCGGATCCAATCAACATCCATATCGAGAATGATAGAGACGGCTGTGCTTGTTAAATGCAGTCGCTAGGGTCGTGTTGGAAGTCTTTGAGCTCATTTTCTCTCTCCACCCCACCGCTTCAGTCATCGAGGGAATCATACGGGAAACTTTGATGCGAGATCAACTGTACATAATCATTCTGGCGCTATTGGGTGTGCAATTTTTTCTTTCCTTGATGATACAGAATGCATAATGAGAGAGACGCGTTTTATAGTTCGTAATACAATCTTTTTTGGACGTACCAACTTTATTTGTATTGAACCGTTCTTTTCAGTGATGCGAGAATGTAGCGAAAGTTACAGTGACATTGAAACAAAGTTCACCCGCCTCTATCTATCTTTGACCCCTCTCGATTCAATGCTCATGATGAATTGCGTTTGATAACGATTAGCGTACACCTACCTAGTCTAGTAATAAATAAGGCGTAAGGTTTATGGTTATCTGGTTACATACAAGCCAAGCGATAAACCCCTATCAGATGAGAATGTCTTGGTTCTTGATCCACTGAGAGGGTACAAGTCAGCCGTCACTTGGCTTAACTTTTATCTTATAAGTTATTTCCCTTCTCTCCTCTTTTCAAAGGCCAAAGTGCAGGAATATCAGAAACATCATTGATGATTCCGATCGCGTGCTCACTCTTCCGCGTTCCGAATTCACCAAGAACGAACAAACTCCAGCTACTGGTGGAAGAGGATTCAGCACATTATTAAATGCATCAATATTTGTGCATGTGTTTACGGCCTCCATGACCTTCCGACGCCCCGAAAATAAATCCACATAACTTACATCCACTCGACGGAATCCTGACTGCACGGGCGTAGGTAGGATATAGATAAGGTCCGGAAGACGATATCCCACACCTCGATTCGGAAACGGCGGCAGTCAAAACAAAACTCGGTGCCATGAGTGTATCAACGGGTCCTGCTATAATGCAGACACAGACTGAGAGAATGTCCTTGGAAAGGACGGTCACAGACACCAGTGCGCACACAGGCAGCAAGAACATGGGTTTTAGAGCTGGAGTGGGGTTGGGGAATGTAGCGCGCAGAACGTTGGGCATGGTGTTACTGGGAGTTACGGTGATGTTATGGACGAGTAGTAATTTTCTTGCTAGTGTGAGTGTGCTTCTCTCTTTGCCAGCTAGTATTTCGGGCTGCGAAAGGATCAAAGGATTTGATACCTACTCATACTGATACGAGAACTATAGTATATATTCGCCGACAACACCTACTCAAAACCATATTTCGTGACATATATCAACACGTCGTTCTTTGCTGTATCATTGATTCCTATCTTTCTACGAACATCGAGGGTGCATGGGTGGTCGCATGTGAAGGATTCCGTTGTCGATTATTATCACGAACAGATCTCGGAATACCGCTCCGGACTCCAGAATCTCCGGAAAGGATGGCGCGCCCGGGAGTCCAGCCTGGGAGACCAGGAATACGATTCTATGAGCGCTTCTCACTCACGTCTCCTTAGCTCCACCAATGACTTTGACACAGATCTTACCCAACCACAAGAGCAAGAAAAGGAGGACAAACTGAGCGTTTCCGAAACCGCCAAACTTTCTCTCGAATTCTCCCTGCTTTGGTTCATAGCCAATTACCTCGTAGCCGGCTGTCTCGAATACACATCCGTCGCCTCCTCCACGATCCTTACCTCCACTTCTTCAATCTTCACTCTCCTCTTCGGAGCCCTGGTTCGCGTCGAATCCTTTACCATGAGGAAACTTATCGGGGTTTTGGCTTCTTTCGTAGGCATCATCCTCATTTCCTCGGTTGATCTAGGGAGTACGGACAATGACTCCAACCGCGGAAACTTTCCCCATAAATCTCAAGCCCAAATTGCTATTGGCGATATAATGGCTTTTGGAAGCGCGGTTATGTATGGGCTTTATGCAGTGGTGATGAAGAAACGCTGCGGTAATGAAGATCGTGTCGATATGCCCTTGTTCTTTGGACTTGTCGGCCTCTTCAACGTCATATTTCTATGGCCCGGTTTCTTCATTCTGCACTTCACCGGTGTGGAAAAATTCGAGCTACCTCACACTGGCAAGATCTGGCTCATAGTTTTATTGAATTCCCTGAGTAGTTTCATTAGCGATTACTGCTGGGCGTATGCAATGCTATTGACGACGCCGTTAGTGGTAACGGTAGGTCTGAGCATGACGATTCCGTTGAGTTTGGTGGGGCAGATGTGGTTGAATGAGCAGACGAGTACTGGAGTTTATTGGGTAGGTGCGTTGGTTGTGGTGGGAAGTTTTGTGTTTGTTAACCATGAGAGTAAGGAGGAAGAGAAGAGAGAAGCAGGGGACGAAAGAATCATACCTATTGTCGTTGTTGTGGATCATGATGCGGGAGCAAGCGAGGCCGTTTAAATTTCTAGATTTCTAGACAAAAGGGAGTTAGAATTAGAGTTAGGGTTTGAGTTTGAATTTGATATATATTCTAACATTCTCGTGGGTTGGATATATTCGGCATTGAAACCAGTGGGGTTTGTGTCTGAGTTATGGGTTTATCTTTTGATATTGCTCATAAATGTAATCTACATTCTCCATGCATTCAAGGCACCGGATTAGAACAAGTGAGCTCTGACTCTATGCCCACCGTCTAAGCATGCTTCATACACATGATACTCATTTGCAGCAAACCTGGTTGACAGTTTGCGCTGGAATATCACCTGATCCCCCTAGAACAATAGTGATCATATCCAACACCATAAAGCTCAAGATAGAACCATTGCCAACTAGTAATGACCTGATGTGTACCCATCGTTAACTTCATTCGAAACAACCAATATCCCAAACGCCGCAAAATGGTATCTAATGCAAAAACTCTCTCATCGCGTTACCTTTACCAATCTCATGTTTCTAATGCTTTCTCCCATCCTTACACTTGACTTGCACCACTTTATGTTTAGGCGCAGAATTTCCACCTTCAATAACCACAGCTGTAAGTTTACCGCCTTTTATACACCCTGTGTCTAGACCCATGCTGTATTTCTTTAACTGAAGGCCCCGTTTTGAATCGTGACCGTATATGACTGTGGTGCGTTCTTTCTTTGATAGTTTCTTCTGATATTTATTCCAGACCTGTTGATTTCGTACTAGTTAGTGATACTTCATGGAGACGATGGCATGATGTGAATACAAATCTTACCTTATTCCAATGTTTCCCATCTCTTTCATCGCTCGGTATTCCATCAATCATAGTCCTCATGTTCATTACCATGGATGGATCTTGTCTTTCCAATTCCACTCCGGGAGCCAGCCCAGCATGAACAACCACCACCTCCTCCATGCCTTCTAAATGCCCAACTCTCAAGATCACTGGGCATTTCTTCAACCACTTTATTCTCTTCTCCCCCAACTCCCTTACCAATGCCCGATCCTTGTAATCCCCATGACTGAAACTAACTTCCTCTAATCCATCAATCACCTTCTCTGGGTCTTCGCTGGGCCCCGGTGCATCCATCTCCGCCTCCTTATGTTGCGCCACCATATCCGCATGTGCGAGAATAATCCTGTCCTCATGATTCCCCCTCACCGCAGTAGCTCCGAGTTTCATAGCGAAATCGACCACACCTGGAGAATCGGGACCCTTGGATATCATATCGCCGGCTAGGATCAAATGGTCGTGTTCTCCATCGAAGTTTACTTTGGCAAGCAAACTTACCAGCGCATGTTTCATCCCATGCACATCACCCACTATGATCAAGCGATTCGGCTTCCGATGTTTGCCTGTCTGCGGCAGGTAATCAGAAGGTAGATTCATCAGGTGTATCATATCTGTGAAAGCGAATTGCGCATTCGTTCCATATTCTTGGTGAATTACCTCCGCGGCGCCTCCGTCCATTATAAAATCGACATCGCTAAAAGAGATTTGGCGAAAATAAAATGTGTATGGAATCCAGGTGCAGGCTAAGGCGATTAGGAGGCAGATTATTATATTTCTCTTCGGGTACGCATATTTCTTCTGCGGCCGCATCTCCAATGGAGATTCGGTGGAGTGGATGGGCAGTGATGCCATTCGTGAGAGAGGGTGCTTGTGAGTTGGTGGGTGTGTGGTTACATATGACGTCCGCACACAGGTTCGAAGTATGAAATATGCAGTGTGAAGAGAAGTCCTGGTAGATACTTTAATCTAATTTAACTAAGAGAGCATTGATCAGCAAATGGTATGGGATTCTAATTGAAAGTTTAAGTTTCCTCTCCCAAAAACATACATTGAAGTTGTTCAAGTTACCTCTCTTATCTACTATCAATAAAATCACCATCCAGATCTAAGGTCGAGAGCTGACGAAGTGGTTGAAGATATACTCAGCTTCGCCAACACGGCAGCACGGCATACCAGGGTACCGATACCTTGATGGCTCATTCATTACTTTACTTCATAAAAATAAGATGTCAGCTTTTTGGCCGGCTCGGCACCGAATTTGATACGCGTAGTGAGAAAGGGTAAATGCGGTATGATGTAATGAACCAGCCACCTCCTTACTACCGAGATGTTTGAAGTTTGAACGTCACTTTAAATAATCCTCCGTGCCACGACATACGCTACGCTGTTCCATCGATATCCTCAATTATGATTCTTAAACTCCTTTACATCTAGCCCAAAACATTACTTTGAAAAACATTTGTACGAAGCGCTGGTCGTACAGAAGATGTCTTTTGGGGGAGCATCTCTGACATGTGGTGTACGTACGTACAAACAACGTCTTGCTGAGAAGATGCTGTGGCTGTAGGGCCTGACATGATGATCTTCCGGAAAGCCATTTAAACATTCGTCGTCTTATTGGTTTCAGGTCGATTACAGGGGCTCTCTTCAATCATGGCCTATCGGTCTTGTGACCATAAGACGCTTCGTGATTATCACTTCACATTTTCTTGTGAGCGCACAGGACAGACTCAGGATATGGCGGGCGGGTAGTCCTCACATGACTGAAGGTCAAAAGACTAGTATACAGATACTTGAATATCTTGAAGCAGGACTGCCATTCAACCATGACCTTTCCGCACCTATTAGATTCGCAGCCTTTTTCCAAAATTGGAGAGAAATCCCCGTGACCGCTTATGTTATCCCAGAATTCCAAAGATGGGGTTCTAGCTGCATAATTGCGGCGATCTTGGGAACTGGTACGTCCAATGCAAACTATGTAAATCCGACGCTTTTCTACAACGCATTCTTCGCTTCACTTCATGAGCTGCAGGAGTTATCACACTATAATGGACCAGAAATGGTGAATTGACCACATAGAAGCTGCTACTCTGGTCCAAATCTCAAATCTCACACAGATTGGTGTCGTATGAATGTCCATCGAGGTTCAATATTGAAATTGTACCATTTCCAGCAAGCTCTTTTGAGTAGTTAGAATGTCTGTATGAAGGTAAGAGACTAGAAGTCCATGATTTACACTCACCCGTTGTAGGCTGGTGGGATAATTGGAATCTTTGTTTCAGCGTCGGTGATTGGCAGTGTATACTTTCCACTCAGGTCATATGAGTACTTTGAATGTCTGTATCAAAGTCATATTGAAAGTGTACGGTTTCCATCTAGCGTTTTTAAACAAGCTGAGTATTCTGTCGAGATTGAACATTGAAAGTGCGGTCATGCCGACTCCCTAGTGGAAGTTACAATCTAATTAATTTGCAGATATTGCACAATACACACTGTTGCCGGCTTGTTATCAGATTCTTTCTGGCATTTGAAAGTATAAAATAAAATTGGAATTGAAAGGCTCTCCTAAACTAGCTATAGCTATCTAAAGAACAACTTGATTGTTCAAATTAGGGAGAGATATTGATTCATGGACAAATTCGCTCTCGTTAAATTACCAGGTCTTTTATTAATTAGTAATATTACCCAAATGCACAAAACATCCCACCAAACAAAGGGCTCAAACGTCATGCTAAGCCAAAATCATCGCAGCAACACGAAGAATACGCGAGAAGGAGCGCTTATGCTCTTTCCATGTATTCATCTTCATCTTCTTCTCCTTCCTTCGCGCTCTCGTTCTCATATTGCTGCCCATCCTCGTCATCCTCGGCGTCAGCCTCTTCTCTTCCCTCTACAGTGACACTAATAGCATCTTCAACACCTTTGACTTCCTCACCTGGTACTTTCTCTGGGCTAGGAGCGTCATTCTGGACCACGACCTCTCCTGGAGCTCTTCCTAGGCACGCGGGACCCTCACCACTAACCTCATATCCAACTCGTCCTGGATTGGTGCCTAAACCTAAACCAGGGCTGGCAATCCATGGCAATTCTTCCTCCAGGACCTTGGTGCAAGTCAAATATCTTAATGGCTTGCTTCTGACTGTGGTACGGAGTTGCAAGTTGTCCTCTAAAAGATCGACGACGACCACGCGATGGTCATCCTTAATGAGTTCAACAGCATCAGCAAGACACTGCTTTCCTTTGGTCGACATGGCGAAAAGTTGATGGAATTCATCTGCGGCGTGCTTGTCGATATAATCACAGCGGAAGACGGTGCGATAGAACTCTACACCACCATCCACATGACGATGATGTCTGTTTGCAAGGATGGAAGACTGGAAGAATTGACGACACATGGTAAGAGCCTGCCAGTAATAGATATCCGAGCCATAATCGGCACGGCCGGGGATCTTATCAGGTGTCTCTCTGCGAATGAGACGTGCTGGGTAGTATTGTAACAATCTGCGCTCAACGTCTATCTTCTTATCTCTGAGCTCAAGAGATTTACGCTCCGCTACTTTGAGGCACACATTTCCAAATTGAGTTTTCCCAAATCTAGCTCTTTTGATAAGTCCTGGCAGCTCGAGGCCACCAGCAATATGGATTATGGATTCTCGAAAGATTATTGCTGATTGAAGACGAACAGCAATATCCGACCATGCCTCGGGGGCTTTGGCAACATGAACCCAGAACTTCTGGCTGATGCGCAAGAGGTAGCTCTCGATGTAAGTACGAACGCTGGGCAAGGCATTCACGTAGTCAGCAGCTTGAAGAATGGAAACGCAATCGGTAATGTAAACATTGGCGCCACCATCTTCAATATCGTCCGTAAGATTTGGAGGTAGATTGTAGAGCAGCCTGAAGAGGTTGTCATATGTTCTTTCGAACGAAACATCTCCGATGCCATTATAAGCACCAGCACCATTCAAGGTAAGTTTTCCCTTTTTATTCATTGGCTATTATATACTTTGGGTTAGTGATTGTCTGAAGTCGGTTTGGACATTGAACACTCCTAAATGTATGAAAGTGTCTGGTGACATACGGCCATGATATCCTCTCATAATACCGGGACAATTAGGGAAGGTATAATACTTACAACGCACTCAAAATCTCGGAAACGATCATCTTTGAACGCGGCAAATGGTTTCATCTCAATCCACCATCTCACAGTGATACCTTCAGCTCTATTCGCCTTTGTGATATTTCGAGGCGGAACATCCTTAAGCAGAGCACCGATTGTTGGGGCGTAGGTGACAAGTTGCCATGAATGGAGTTTCCATTGTTTTCCCATGGGTGACATAATGAGGACATCTCCATCGGGCGGAAATACATTTTGTCTAGGGTCTGACATATTGTTTTCTATATCAACAAATATATAGGATATAAGTGTTGGCTGTGAAAGTTGTTGGTTATTGTGCTGTTGTGCCGTTGGGAGGGCGAAGAGTGGAGGAATGTTATGTTGTAGAAGCGGAGGTTAGACAATCAGGAAAGAAAGTAAGGAAGGAGGAAGTAAAAGTTGTAAATTTTAAGTTGCAGTTTGGGCCGACTGGAGATTTGTAATCTCTATTATTACAACAGACAATACATAGGAGACCATTCACTCGATGAGGCGCGTAGAGTATGTTATCGGATGAATACTTACAATTGATGCATCGTCTGTACTCTTTTTCTGCGAATCTAAGTTTTCTGAAGTCGGAGAATAAGATCTGAGTAGTTTCACTTATTGATAGGTTATATCAAAATAATTTGTTTAAGAAGGTGGTGAAAATTCCAGTTGTCAGGTTTCTGTTTAGATTCCGGCCTCACAAAGTCGTCGATCAATGCATATCAAAGGTTTTCATGAAGGAAATGATTCTCATTGTCCAAGTGCAACACAGAAGTTAGAATGAAAAAGAGACAAGATCAGAAAAATACACGTATTAGGTAACTGATATATTGATGATCAATCATTGATTTTACTGTTTAAGTAAAACTCTGACAATGGTAGACTTACTAATGTTTCAAACTAACTTGAAAAGTTGAGAGTTATAATGATATTGAAATGTGAGAATATACTAATGGAATTTAGACAATACAAAGGCAATGAAGGTTGTTCATTTTCTACCTAGTTTAGGTTGACATCTGATTGTCCCTTGCAGGAATATATTTAAAGATGTTGATAAATTGAGTAAAATTACGCAGCTTGCTATATGATAATTTACCTTGGCTAGGGTTGAAACCATATTGAATATAAAGATACCCCAAGGTGAAACTTCCTGTATATATTTTTGGTAGACACTCATATTATATTTGGAGACTTCACCTTTACTACTTATATGATGTGAGATTGCTTCAATCAACGTCCTTACTTCTCCTCTAAACTCAGCAAATACAAGCACACACAATGATCAAACATGCAAAAGGATGAAATGGGGAAGGTAGAAAACAAATCACAAGTTCAATTCAGATATCCAATCTAGAGATCTATGGTTCCAGGTTGAGGGACAAGATAAGACTCTATACCACAATGGCGATACAGATTCGAAAGTCCCCAAGTAGAACACGTACATACACATACATACACGTACATACACGTACTATAGCTTACCTTTGGCGGTGTCTATTACAGGTCTATCATGAGCAGAACTGTCGGTAAAATGAAAGACTTCTACAAGATTTTCGACCAAATCTCGTATCACTGGGACGCCATTTCCAGCAATGATCTTTTGCAACACAGTGCCTAACAGTGTTAGCCAAATTATAAATTCTGCATGCAGACAGAGCTTTCTTGGCCAGCAAAGTTAGCTGTCTCTTTTCATCATCAGGAATTGGCAACCATAGTAACAGCTTGGAGTGTGGAAAATACAAAAACCTGTATGAGAGGGCCATTGGATCATTCGAGCGGCCTCTTTGCTAATAAATCCTCAATGTTGAATTTTGCTTGAGCTTGAAATTGATGGATGTAGGTCAGAAATTGGAGATCTGTCATAGTCTGGAGTCTGCACTTCTACGAAGCAATTCAACCTTGGTTCCTCACTATCGTCAATATTTTCTACCACGTCCGAAAAGATTGACCAAGCATGAGCCAAGATTCATTCATAAAATGCTCTGTTGAAGAATAAAAAATGGTGATCCTACAGTAGGACTACTTTTACCGTAGACGGAGCTACACTATCCGTATAAAACACCCTCTTTACATGATTTTCAGGCAATCTTTTGGTACAATTGGTGAGACGATGCAGCTTAAGCCCCCTTTTAACAAACCCTACCGTTTAATAGATGGTATGTGTTTGCATCCAATAAATCCTACTTCAAATACTAATTTGAGGCACATTGCAGAATGAAAACCACGGACCCGATACTAACCAGCATACAAAACAATACGGAACTTTCCTAAGGATGAGATACTCGCATGTATAGAGTGTTGAGTGGCTGCTTGTGAAAATGATGAAGCGAATTCCTCGGGCTACTTGTGCTGCTCTCCTTACCAATGAGCCAATACTCCAGATTAAACTATCGGTGCATTTTTATGATCCACACGCCACATAGTTATGTGTATCGCTTTGAACGGATGAGAGCAAAATCAATTCATGGGAGCATTCTTGGAGGATACCTAGGGATTAGATCCGATCTTTCGAGGCTACGTACTTGCCATTCTGAACGATACGATGACTTCACGCTTGTAAATGGTCACATCTCCACTGAATTCTGTAGATAATGGGATGAACTTGTCATAAAATTCTTTTCCAAGCATCATTTCCAATTGGTGACCCAACAAACCCCTCCATCCTTCTCCCAATCATTACAGTTGCTCTCATCGAAGTGTAATGCAGACCTTTGATGGTGCGCGTAGACGGCAACTCACAAAGTTTGGTTGATGAGTTACGAAGTGTGTTCTTGGCAAACTTCTTTGCATGAGAATTAGGTATCCAAGACTAGGCTTTGACGTTGTTAAGACATCGAGGACCACCAAGGTATGTAGTCACGGTAGACAGGCGATTCTCAGCAATGTCATGAATAATGGACTAGCTTTTGAATGGCATTTTCCCAAGCCCCTACAGGATAAGTATATATGCAGGTACATTGAACAATCCCCTTAAACGAGTCAATTTAATCTTACAATCGGTACGCATCGATTAGTTAACTAGTTATGGTTTGAGGTCGACTAAACTTTGCAAAGCCAAGGGAGAAACTAGGTTCATATTTTCTTGCCGAGCATGCTAGTACAGAAAAGTTACAACGGAGGCGTGCTGCGGGATTCCCACTCGAAAGTATATATTTTCTTAAAAATTTCGCTGGCAAGCCAAGAAAGCTCTAGAAATGACAGAAGATTAAAAAGTTCGTATTTTAAGCTGTTACCTATCTTTAGCCATTTGTTGAGGCAGAGCTAGCAAGCACCCGTGACAGCCCCTTTTTGTGGTAGTTGCAAAACGGGAAAGCCTAAGCATAAAAGGTCTAGAGGTGCTCGAGTTGGTGGCAAAGATGTCACTTGCCGAGCCGAGGACTTAGTTGAGATGATTAGAATTTAAGGAATTAGTGATCCAGGCTATAGTAACCCAATCTCCCAGATCGAACTCAACAACCTCATATTACCCACCCCTAGCCTAAATAATCCTCAATGCTCAAAATTGATCCTTAAAAGGAAAAACATCATGTCAGATATTGTTTCAAAAATATTCTGATATAATCAATTATACTATATAGTTATATAATATCAATGCATTTTAGGTTTCGACATTAGGAATAATTACCTAAGGTTACCTAGTATACAAGACAAAAGAAAATTCCCATGTGAGACGACATGGGGAATTCTCCGATTTATCATAGTACACAGTGTAGACATTCCCACATTCCCCGGAAAAAGTAAAATTGTGAGACAAGAAGATCTTCAGCTGACAATCAACTTTAAACCTCAAACCTAAAACTTAAAACTTCAAGATATATATATATATATGGCTGATAAGATGATAAGATGATACACCTCAAACGCATGTGATAAAGCTATACATGTATTGAACATACATTATATTCTTACATAATACTGGCACAAGGCGTGATTCATTACATAGGTAACATATTCCAGGTACCGAAGCTATGAACACAGTTAAAATGTTTTTTCCTGCTTTTGTTAGGTACGGTTACGGCAGGTTCAACGGGAGTTCCCTTCCGAAAAAGCATATTAATGATTCTCAACAAAACTGCATCTTTACACGGCATTTCCCCTTCTTGTCCTACCATGAAGCCCCGTCCTATCTTCTTCTCGCTGTCCTTCTCTCTCCCCTTCTTTCCGTTTGCCTCGCAAACTTTGAGTCATCGTAACTTCTTGCCGTATCAAGAACTATGAATAAGGTAATGATCAAATAGCTCAAGTGACAAGGTCAGACAACCGATTTTCTTATTCACCTCCGCCCTCTATCTTTTCATACGCCCTCTCTTGATATCAAACTATTTACTTCCTTTTATCATACTTTCCTGCGTCTACTATTCCTGATATTCTTCAACCTTTCCTATTCGCAGTATGATAAACCGCACCTATGGCTGAATCTAGCATCATCAATTCTAACGCTCCACTTCAAACCCCTCCACCAGATCGACATTCCTTATCTGAACAAAGTAGGAGAAATATCCCACTGTCCCACCTTCATTTCTTCCAGCTAACATTTTCCAGTTAACATAGCAACCAGAGCTGTACATGCCCAGCTCAACAGACTGATCCTCCTTCGTTTGCCCCTCGCTTTACCTCCATATACCACGAATCCGTCCATATACGTCTCGGGTATCCTCCACATTGCGCCCATTTACATTACCTTCGAATCATTATGGCAAACTATAATAGATGCCCCCAGCCTTCCAGTGTCTCTCGACAATGGACAGATAAGATCAGATTTTCCCGGTGGAAGACATGATTCACTAGACTCTCAGGCTTCTAAAGTCTGTTCAAGAACTCAGTCTCTACTTTCACATCTGCTCCTCCCTGGTCTCCTGCGTTCAGGGCGTCTTCAAGCTGATATTCGTACTTTGACTGGAACCCCGGATCATAAGATTGAAGAGCAATTGAAGGCAGTCTCGGATAAGGGACGGCTAGCAGAGTTCATTGCACACACCAAAAAATCCGTGCAAACAAATCCACATGTTTTATTGGCATATGCATGGGTGTTATATATGGCTTTGTTTTCGGGTGGTCGATATCTTCGAGCTTCACTTAAGACGGCAGGTGGATTTGAAGACTTTTGGGACAGGGATCCCTCTCCCGTGCGCCCATACGAGACCACGAGACCATCAGGAACCACCAAATCCCCTGGCAAAGGACATCCGGAACAAGAAGTGCGTCCTTCTGCTCGTCGACAGACACGCTCTGAATGTAGCCAAATGATGAAGAAACAAGGTCTTCAATTCTTCGATTTCGTTGGCGATGAGGATGGTGAAGACATTAAACGCGAATTCAAACGGCGTATAGCCGAAGCTGAAGTCCTCTTAACAGATGGCGAGAAAGCCGACATTGTCAAGGAAGCGCAAGCAATCTTCTCGTTTCTGGTCATGATGGTTTCCGAACTAGATTCAATATGTGGAAGTACGGCAGAAGATTTGGAGACGGTGAAATCCTCACAATTCACGAGATTACACCAGGAACACAAACCATTGAAAATGGCTCGGGGAAGTATCGCTCTTACACAAGCACGCCTCTCGAAAATGAGAGAAGACAAAAGTTCTAATGAAGAAGAAGAACGATTGGAGCGAAAACCAAGTCTCTATGCATCATTCATTCAAGCTCCTATGGCTAAATTGGTGAGATTTAAAGATGAATATCCTGGTGGTACAGCAAGGACATTGGTAAGAAAGTGTTCTACGATCTCCCCTTCTACCCAGGGCGGAAGCTCTCTAGAAGAAACAAATATGATAACTCCCGAGACAAACCTCTTTGTGAGACTTTTGACATTGGGAGGGCCACTAGTAGCATTGACGGCAGCATTTGCCACTTGGTACTACGTTGGCTAGTATATTTTGTTTCTGGGTAAAATTCATTCATTGCCTGGGATGTATTTATGATTTTATGAAAGAGGCGAGCGCTCGCTGCTTCATCTGGATTGGAGACGAGAGGATTGGAGGACATGATGGTTATGGCTATGACTAGAAGGCTTGTTTTTTCATACATAGGTACCCAGTACACACTTTTAGGATAAGGATAGCTACAATTTGATACCCCTATTGATTGCTTTCAGATGTTCACTTTCTGAAATTACTTTCTATGGTTGAGCCCCAGTATAGCAGAGCTACACAGTCCGAACGTATGATCAGTCGTAGCTACTCCTCCAAAATCCCAACTGAAGATCCTTTGTCAGATAACGTGTAGCTACTGTGCCGCTATTATACAGCTCATCGACAAACTTCTCAATCGTGATACCTAAAGCGTCGTTCCTTCCACTACTTTCTGCCATCAGCCTCACTACACACCATTTGATTACTTAGCCTTGTACACCATTCATTCCACCTAGCCTACTATCCTAAACCAAGTCCCAACATCCACCAATCCCAAATCAGACAAAGACGAATGAGTATGAACATTAATATTTTAAAAAATCGATTTCGGATCCTTTTCCTCCCTGTAGCTCCTCTACCATTATTTGTGAGTTGTGAGTTATAATCTAAATTTTTAATTTTAGTTTTACCTTTAATTCTAAAATTAAAAGTTTTTTTATAATCGAGAATTTATATCAATCACATCGCATCATACGTAAGGATTTCTTTCTTCAGTTAATCAAGGATTCTTATATTCCTTGAACTGACCAATTTGAAATTGAAGCGTCACTTCCTTGCTCACACCTTATTTTCCCTTATCTGACTACTCTCATAAGGAACTCAAGACTTCCATTTCTAGTATTATTATATCTGTTTTCTAAAATCTATTTGTGCCTACGACCAATAGAAGTAGGTATACCCAAGCTTCATCCTTGATGACTTAAAAATCCATTTTATCGTTTTTAATTATCCATGTTGCATGCCATACTAATCATTACCAGGCGTCATTGCTAAAGCCATTATTATCCAGTTCTCTAAGTAAGTATTATCTTTAGTCGTTCTTTCCCTTTCTTCCATTTCCCTCGGGGCCCGTCAAACTATCCTCACTGCCCCCGACTGTAAACGAGAAATCTGTTTCCCCCACTAATTTCTTAACACTTTCTACCAATCCAGCTAAATCATCTGTCACCAATGAGCTTGCTACTTGCATAACTGCATAAGCACTATATCCTGGTTCTTCAACATGTCTTGAGTCTAGAATCCCACTATCGAGAGCTTCAAGCCGACTACTGAGGCTATAAGGTTGGGGAAGTTGGATGAAAGGAGGAAGGGCAACCCCTGAACTGATCGCGGCAGACAGGAGTGCGAGGGTTGAAGTTATTTGATGGCTGGTGGGCTCAATCTGTTCCATGACGACAGCTAGATCACGAAGCCACTTGCTTCGGGTATCAGTCTTTGTATCGGCATCTCTAGACCAGGCTTTTGTGGTATATGACATCAATGCGAGGTACCCCATAATACTGAACTCAGTTATTAGCAAATAGACGCGTCCAAAATATAGTAACACTTACTTGGAGCATCTCTGTGTGATGTCATTGTAAGTTTCACGAGGAAACTTTCCTCCAATGGTGGGCTCAAATCTCTGCCAAGCAGCATGTTGTTGCAGAGATGGCAGAAGCAAGAGAAGCTTGCCAAACATCCTATGTCGAGCCTTTTCAAGGCGACGACCAGGACTAGTCTTCAATGACATATCACCTTCCATTCCGTGCATTCGAGAGCGAATAGTCGAATGAACCGTTGAGTAGTAGTTTGCCAAGATGTAAAGGGTCGCTCCCAGATCTTTTCTTAACCAGCTGCGGTCCGTGAGCGGGTAGGGAAAGAAGGTCCAAATGAATGCTACGAAAGATCCTCCCGCGACACATGCGAGTCTGTATGGAGCAAGCTCATAAATTCTATTGTCGTTAGAGACTCGCAACTCATCCTGAAGGAAATACTAACGGATAATAGGGTTGCCCTGAGCTAGTCGATGCTGCAATTCCAATCTTCCTAACCTGAAGCTCATAGCCAACGATCAGGACTTGGGTGACTATAAACACAAGCCAAGCTGGTATAAAGCGAGGGAATTTCAGGAAAAGGTACATCTCTATGAAAATGAAAAACCACAGCATTACTATGACTCCTGGGGTCTTTTGATCAACAATATACCAGATGACAATCGAGGTGACCATTGCTAGTGCAGTCCCTATGACACGGGCTAGAAATCCAAATATCGATTGGCCTGAAGTCATCGTCATACCTATGCGTGTTAGCTTTTCTACGAGATCAGATCAGGACAAGCCTCCGGACATACCAATGGCAATGATAATCAAAGCCCAAACTAATCTTTGCTGCTGGAAGAAGACATGAGTATCCTTGAGAAATGCAACGATTCCCAAAGTCAAAGTTGCGCATGCGACTCTGAAACCAAATGCTGATTCTTGGCTGCCTAGAAACCTTGGAATAGTTCTAAGCCCGTTTCCAAAGTGCTGCCAAGCAGTGTTCGGTGGTAAATGCTCGGGGTCTTTTCGAGGATTGAATCCTGAGCCCAAGTAAACATTGTTTATACCTGCCTCTTGATTATCTGGAGTGTTACTATCCACAGTTGTGTCTGCTTTTGCGAGGCCAAGAATCCATTTCTTTACTCGGCGTTGACCTGGTAAAATCAGACGATTCTTTTTCATAGATCCATCTTCTACTTTACCATCCGCAAACCGGACCAATTTCATTACTGCAAGACCGGCCGTATAGAGCTAAACTAGTTAGCATCATAATAAACACGGAACAGTGTAACCTACAAGATTTTCCATGAAAAGAATAAGATATAACTGCTGTTGATCCCTTCTGTGCGAGGCTTCGTCTCCAGTGACAGGCTCCCCGCCGGCAGGGATCGGCCTACTTGCGTCGAACTGTTCCGCAGACAAACCTTTTTCCTGTGCCCATTTCTTCAAAGTTGCACCACGTTCCTTGTAAAATTCATTCAGAGTCTTTTCCATGTAAGCGAGAAATCCGGCATCGCCAGGCTTTGATTGTTCAGCAGCAGTCTCGATATCGCCAGCAGCTTTCTTCTTCGGTCGAGGAATAAGCTCCAAAGTAAGTGCCGCATGCTCCAACCCTTGATCCATAACTGCGGTCACGATAGCAAACGGTTCGTGGAGAGTTTTCATCACTTCATTCCATAATCTTTTTTCTTCTGCCTTGCTTTCTAGTGGCATGTGCTCCCATTGCTCAGAACGATCATTTGGGCCTGTGGACTTGACCCAGCCGCGCCTTTCACCGATTCGTACAAAAATATCCGTAATAGTACTCATCCCCAAAAGTGGAATCATGATATCTTGGAACAAATTGAAAATTTTGTCCATATCCTTAGCATCCAATTTTCCCCAAGCAACCTCACGTTTCCCGAACGGCATATCTCCGTAAAGTTTTCCATGCAACCCGCGCAAGCCTTCAATTGCTCTCTTTAACGCCTTAGCCTCTGGAGACAGTGCTGGGTGGCTAGATTCCACTCCACTTTTCCTGGATTCACCTGACTGGCTACCAGCGGTATCACTATTCTCAGTAGCGGGACCGGAAAACATATCACTTTCCTCCAAGCTTTGTAGATATTTTGTCTGAGCCTTGAGCACACCCCTTATTAACTGAATGTATCCCGCTTGTCCTTTAAACACAACCAAACGACACGAGATAGGTATAACGAACAGGTTGACCGCTGTGCTTATAGCAAAAGCAGTCAAGAATGACTTCAGCATCTGTTTGATGAGAGATTCAGCCAATGCAAAGGTGGGGAAAATGGGCCCATATGTGAAAGCAATGTTCGAAAAGATGCTATACATAATGACCGGAACATTCAGGGCTGGAATTTTCGCGCGCAACAGATTCGCAAACCATATATTCGCAAACAGCCAGATGGCGCATACAGCAGCCTGCGATGAATTATACGCTTGTGGCACTCCTGGTGTGGAAGTATGCTCTCGCGCTTTGATACTGCTCCACAGTCCCAAAATTCCGACTGAGGCCCCAATGCAGACGGCAAACAGGTTGAGTATCATCGTTTGAAAGAATTTCGCCCTTGGCATAATAGGCAGGCAAATCACGCAAATGATGGCTACCAAATATCCTAGAGTTGTGTATGTTCGTGCGACTGATTCCGATTCGTAGAATGCTGGATACAAGTTAGGATGAATAACGCAACACGGGCTTCAATTGACTTGCCAATAGCAATTGTAGGAGCAACAGATCCCCTAAGCTGTACATAAGCATCACGTCAATTGAGACTGGAGGTGAACCATACTTGAACATCATCATCAACGTCGGCGCATCAAGTCCAAGTTTTCCCCATATCACCTTCAACTTGGAGGGCCTCTTTTCCTCATTCTTGACCTCCGCTTGTCCAGTTCCTCTTTTGGGGAATTGATTTGCGATTGGCTTCTCTTCATTCTCGCCATTACCGGTTGCGACATTTGGGGACTCCTCATCTCTTTTCTCCGTGTGCGACTCGCCATTTAGAGGAACCTCATCAGTAGCCATTTTTGTCGTACAAGGCTGAGGTTTAGTTTCCTCGCGGGTTACACGACAATTGATTATATTCGTTCTTATGTGCACATCATTCAAATCATAAAGTATAAACAAGGAAGAAGCATTAGAAAATTTTAACTTGAAACCATGAATAGAGAGATAGGAGAGAGAAGATTATCAGACTTTCTCCTTAGCAGATCTCTGCAATTACCGTGCCGGCACATGGAGAAAAGTCCTGAGCATGAAGTGCGAAATTACGTATACGGAGTATTGGATACGGGACAACTGACCAATCAGTGAGTGATTAGTTCTTTACAGCCTTGAGTCATGATGCAGTATAAAGATTTATGCAAATTATGCATATACTTTTAACCCGCTTGCCGATCAGCCTTATGTACCTAGGTATTGTCAAAATATCACGTGCACTATATTCCTCTCAAGTCTGAACTTAATTATCTCTAATTTCTGTTTCATGCTGTGCTGGCATCTTTCCGCAGGCTCTGTAAAGAACAACACGTTTACTATCATCACCTCTCTAGATGTAAAGGACGATCACAGGTTCCCATAAGCAATTAGGAAGATATGATGTCTGACCTGCGCTTCTAGTTGATCCCTACCAACAGTCTCTAATCGATACCATCCAAGTAGTAAAAGCTCCTAATTTTGCATTCAAAAGAATGAGAATAAAATATTGAGTAGAAAATTGAATGTGACTTATAAAAGGCAGTGATGAAGGGGCTCTTTTTAAAGGCTATCAAAATGGCGTATTTAATTTTCAAACTTGCCCCCTTTTCCCATTTCCTTTCCCTCCCTTAAGAGGGGCAATTGCAACTCTTCACCAAAATTTTCTCATAGATTTGGCTACAGTTGATCGTTGTCCCTCAAATGCTAGACTTCCCCTTTAGCATTGATGTCTATCCTTTCCTTCTAACTTCACCAACCAATCCACAACACACTTATTTGTCCAATTCTTCTCCTTGGTCTGGTTATCTCACACACCAAAAATCCTATGACTTATATGATTGTTATAGTTAGATCAAATCGATTATGAATTTACTTCTACTACTATTGCCCGCTATTCTTTCTTGCATACTGTACTCTGTATTCCACTTTTCAACCATAACTTCCTGCCATCACTGCCATCACCGTCTGGTAGGTGTTGTTAATGGGAGAGGATGCCATGGAGACAAACGTTATCCTGCTGAATTTATAATTGTTAACAAAAGCACATAATGATTATACTTAGCAGCTTCACTTCGACCTCCCCAAGACTTGGAGAATTGGTATCGCACGACCTAGCCCTTGATTATTGCAATGTAAGTTTGTCTATTCTAGCCATATATTGAGGGTCCTAGTGCAGCTTCATTGGCGATCTTGCACGACAAAACATTTTCTTAAAGAATTCCAAGTCTTACTGTTGGTACGAGAAGGATACGGAAGACGTAGCACCCACGGATTACGTAGGTCCTGTATGTCTAATTGTATTCTGTCTAAAGAGCTAGCTACATATTGAAAGTAGTAAGTCTTATATAGACTTACTAAAAGAGCTAGTCTCTTTCGCGTTCGCTTAGTTCTTTATTACAGTAGTAATTGAATTGAAGTCATTCACTTCGTTCACACACTTACGTTACTTAGGTCCCTTAACTAAACTTTCAAGTCAGAATGCACACCAAAAGGACTAAACTTCCAACCTCTCCTACCTGAAGTTTGGAAGCAGCATCTATTATAGTACTGAAATCTCAATCACATAAAAGAGCTCAGAGTCACTGCATTCTCACGAGTCTCTTCTATAGCAATCTCTTGCCAACACGATGGTTTAGGGGCATGGTAGCCTCCCCTCTTTCTAGGACAATAGCTGCGAAACTTTAACCAAATGACAGTTTCTTTAATATGAATGCGGGATTCGAAAATTCACCCGTAAATGGTCAAAAATATGATTAAAAGAACCTATACATAAACAAAATTGCAGAGTATCACTGTAAAATTGTATGTAGTAGTTTACTTAACATGGGGAAGCCGGAGGATGAGAAAGTGAATCACTAGAGGAGGTTGAAACGAGGTCCATACATGAGGCCTAGGGGTGATGAAAATCAAAATCATTGGGAATACTTCTTTCTTATAAACTATCGATATTTCAGATACTTTTCGGCAAGGGGAGATAAACTGACCACTCGTTATATACCTCAGGAGACTTCGAAGAACCATAGACATGGTTACAAGCACACCAAGTCTTCCCTCAATTTCCCTTATATGCCCAATAACTCTTAAACGAAACATTCCACGCTTTGCCTTCCACGCCAAGGTCTTTCCACCACCTGTCATGATCGTCCCACTCACTCACTACCTTTAACAGACCCTAACTTTCAGACTTGCATCATCATTTACAGCAAGACGAATTCCCCATCAACCTCGAGCAACACAACCTTAGCCTTGACTGAACCCCCACCATTCTTCTTCATCTCACATCTTCGCGGCAGCTGAAAGATACGATAATGTAATCGTGTCATGTTCGTTCCCACAGAAGCAGTGTTACAAAACACAACGTGAATTTTCTCGAGCCCGTGACCCCTAACTTGCGCGACACAGCAGCTTTACGCAGGTAACTTGTCACTCTATTGTAGAAGCATAAGAAGTTCGTATCTGTGTTGCATATCTCAAAATCTTGTCGTTCCGCTTTTAGAACTATTTGGAGGGAACCGAGGAGAAAGAGCATGCTGCGTGACAACTAAAAAATGTCTCTCGTAAAACGACTATTGGACAAAATCCCATCAAACCAACCGCATGAAACTCCGTAATGTATGAGTCCTGGGTATGTACAGTGGTAAAAGTCCTATTCCTAACCACCAGTTCCGAAGCTCTATGGATACAATTCAAGACTCCTAGTCCCCATCTCGCATCACCCTATCTGATAGCCCCAAAAGCAATACCTCTTTACCAATCATCAACTCATTAAAGCGTGGGCGCTCTCTTTAACCCCACGCAGTATCTAACAAATAGCCGGTCCATAAAATGAGCATGTTTAATACCCTTGGGTCTTCTCTTGGCGAATTCATCAATCGCTTCTTGAACTCCATACCCACACCTTTCCACCAGATAACAGACGATGAAATATCCAGTTCTGTTGAAGCCATAGTGACAGTGTACCCCCACAAACCATTCACCATCGACCCCTTCATTTTTCTTCCTTGCCTCCTGCTCATCTCGTAATCGGTCAATTAAATTGATGAAGGTGACGACTTCGTCAGATGTGGGTGGGATTTTAGATACCGTGGGAAATTTATGGTACCGTATGCCCCCTTTCTCAAGCCCTCGCGGGTCGTACACCGGGCTTTCGTGACTAATGTCCACAATATCTTTGATCTGCTCCCCCCAATCTCTTACGAACACCTCCGGACAATGAGTATCATCTACCTCCCTCAAGGTTTTCATGGCACGGAACACGCCCCCTATGGGCTCAGATACTGGAGCAACTGCTTGCCATTTTGCCAAGTTCTTCACATCCCATTTGCCGGAGGTGGAAAGAAACTGCAGTTGCCAACCCAAGGACAACCGCGGTGTCACTTGAGTGCAGAGAAAATCAGAGATGAGACCCGCAAGGATCCTCACAGTGGATGGCATGTAGAGCAGTGCATGCGAAGCGGGAGCTGGAATGATTGTCATCTTTAAAACCCTCTTAGGCCTGAGAGGTTGGGAAGGAATGTTGTCGATTCTTTCAATGTCATCCGGTGTTGATGAGTCTTCTAGCGAATCTGTAACGGCACTAGGATTGTTTTCCAAGAGCTGTTTTTCGGTCAAAGGGTTGATGCTGTTTCTTATAGATTCCGTTTGTCTAGATATATCAACAGGCGCAGCTGCATCAACAATGGGTTCACTTTTATCGTTGACCTCAATTTGGCTTGAGTTAGACTTCCCGAGATATTGAGCAATCTTCTCAATCTCCCCAGGCTTTGTGATGTTGTCCGCTGCCCCAGCAACAAGGAAGACAGGCATATCTAGCCCCTTCCAGACATCCCTTCCCGGAAGTCCACCTTTCGCAATGTGGTTTTCGTAAACAGGCAAAGTGCCAGCTGCCATTCTCCTCCATACTGCTGTTTTACTCCGACTATTGAAGCGTTCTTGGAGTTTTTTGGTTTCTTCATCTGCTGAAGCACCGACAAATCTATGCACACTGGCACTCTCAGGGCCACCCCGACGGTCCCAGTTACGCCACAAATCAAAAATAAGATTGGGGACCAGAAGCAGCTTCCTGAACTTACTGACCTCATCTTCACTAGGAGGTTCGGCGCGAGGGCAAATTGCCTGAAATTTGCATCAGTAACCAAAATAAATATTACATATGACTTGATTTCTTACGACGAAACCGATGACATTTTCTGATAGCGCAATTGACCGTGGCGACGTTGTAGATGCAAGTAAGGCACTTATTGAGCACCCCAAGCTGTGTCCAATCAGGATCACACCCTGATTCGTATCCTTTTCTCTATAGTCCCCGATAACTTTCCCAACAAGCTCTGCAAGAGCATCCACAGTATAAGCATCCCAAGGTAACTTGGAATCGAACTCAGACAGGCCGCAGCCTGGTAGATCGATTGAAAGACATGATGCCAAATTCACAAGGCTTGTCAATAGAGGGTTGAATTGCGCGACTGAGCCTCCCAGACCATGGATAAAGACAAGTAGAGGTAGTGGAGCAGGTTTTGTAGGTAATTTATCTGCTTGAGCATGTCTGCTGAAGAAAATCCGGAGCGAAGGATATGTAAATCGACTAGTTGTGTAGGATCTTATCTCGGAATATTTTTTCAATAGCCCTGGGTCGACAACTTCGGATTCTATAATTCCAATTGATCAGTAGGTAATTTTGCTAAATGATTCCAAGAACTAGGACAGAGTTACTACGACAGAGCTCACCATTGATATCTAAGCTTCTTTCGGGAATAGTTCCATGCGCACTGTCTTTAAGTGATTTTGAGTCATTCGAAGTTCTACTCTTCCTTCCATTTCGCAGATACCAAAAACCAGGAAATACACTACACAGAAGCGCAATTTGCACCATGTCCCGAGCGCTCAGCTTTCCTTGAATAGTATTGGTATAGATTCGGCTTGCGCTGGCTGCAACAGCCTGTATTGGCAAAATTAGTTTGCTAGAGGAGTTCAACAACGGCGAAACGCTGTTACCTGGTAAAGCAAGAACAAGAGGAAAAAATAAACAAAACGATGACAGCAACAAGAAACTCGCCATTCTTATATTGGCAGGCCCAAGGTATGTTTGGGTCAGACAAGAAGAGATAAAGTCCTATCGGGAAATTTACTTCCTGATTGTGGTGAAAGCCCCCATAGCCAATAACGTTATCACGGTGCTCTGTATTAGCTGTGCTTGAACGAACCTTAAGCTTGGAAGGGATCGATGCTGTTCAATGTTTCCATAGAGGGGTTCGGATTATGGCAGATGCGACAAATGTGGCTCTTCCTGGAAAACGATTTCTTGTCCTTGTCTGTGTTGAGTTTGGGAGATTGTCTCTTTTCGAGTACTTCTACTCCTATCAAAGTCTCTTCTTTTCTATGTGCGAACACTACTAGGTATTGCACCGGTGCAATGTATTCCGTTGTAGTACTGTAGTCATACAGAATTTTCATGGGTTGCGGTTATTTTGCGATTAGAGATTGCGGGACTCAGTACTCCGGTAAGGTTAAATTGATTGATATGAAGCTTGGTCCTTTCCTTTGGGTACAACTGTTGGTACCTACTCCATATTCATATTTGCTCGTGTCTGGCTTCTTTTGGTTCATTGGCCAAAACTACTACTTCAATATGGATTCCAGGTGCAGGTACAGCTACAGCTACAGGTACACGTCCAGCTCTCCAGCTCCACCCAGCACTAGGCTTCAGCTTTCACGAAAATGCCAAACAATAGAATGTTTTATTTTGGTGTTCGTACAATAATTAACTTTATTGAGCATTTTCATTTTTGCTGAAGATCTACCCATTCCCGCCTACCATCTACTTCTTGGTGAGGTTACATACACGACCTGCATTTTCAATAAATATATCGAATCGAATTGCGACGATCTCATCTAGGAATCATGGAATGGAGGTATATCTTAACAATACACTACATCTTTTGGGTATAAGGTGCATGCAAGTACAGCTGCATATGTAAGGTTAAAGAAGAGAGATTTTGGTACCCAACGTGATGGATCTGAAGATAGATATATGGCCATTAAGGTTACATGGCAACACATAAATCCTGTAGGAATAGATGGCCACGAATCTTGGGTCTAAATAGTAAGAGCAACCAGCCTCCCAATTACTCGAACTACATTTATCAGATTCCACGGCTCTGATCCCTTACCAAATCAACCACCAAAAGTTATGTTCAGAGTAGATTTTGGAAGCATATGCATTGAGATCACAGTCTCACATTACATTGAGCCTCATTTATGTCTCCCTGCCAGACTACACTAAATACTGAAGCAAGAGTGGGTGGCAAAATGGAATCCTCACATATGCAAAATGATTCATCATTTAGTACCCTTACTTACTGTTCCTGCATCTCGGGAAGGCTAAAACTACTAATGGGCTGGAAATGCCTAGCCCGACAACCGATGTCTGATACCTCAAGGAAAACACCTCTCATCCATAATAACGTATTTCGACCGATATATTGGATGCAGATTGGAAGTCTAATATGCATCAAGTATCCTCATATTCGTTAAGAACCAAGATTCAATCAGTATTTAATTCTTGTTATACGACAATTTAAACGGAATGGGGAAGACCTTCTTTTCTGAGCGATGTTTGCTGGTTTTGGAAGGTGGTGTGTATTGATACTGTTTTATCTTTGACAGCGGCGAGGGCTCGGGGGTCGTCAAATCAATATCCCTTGAAATGACTCGTTTTGCTGGCCGTGGGTTGGAAACTGCAAATTTGATCGGAGTCGACCTTTTGCGTGAGCTTTGGACAGATCTTGATGAGCCGGCAGGTTCCCAACCATTGATACTCTCTGAATTTAGACTGTGTGCATGTCTCCTCAATGGCGTTGTCTCTGGACTTGGTAAAGCCTTATGGAGCTGCCCATGTGGTGTTACTAAAAATCCATCTGGTGAGGCCGTCCTCGAACTTTGCAAGCTTATGGTATCTGAGTCATCTGAGGTTCTGTAAACTTCTGTTCGTGGGGACGAAGCTAGGGTTGGTACACAGTGGAAGACTGGCTTTTTATGCTCTACAGGCCTAGAAAGTAGCCTCTCTTTCGCCTGTTGAAGCTCCACTATTGCCATGGATCGCTCAGAGGGCACAGCTTTGCCATGCAGCTTGATAGTCTCTACCGTCGTGGAATACTGGTCCACTGCTGTATCCCGTGATTGAGACTCTTTGGCGTATGCTGTCGAAACTAGTGGCGAAATAACTCTCGTTGACTTCCTGTCTACCTTGGTGCTTAGTCGTTGGGTTGAAGACGAGTATGTGCTGCTAGCAAGATCTCTCTGCGCGTCATAAGTTGTTGTTGTGTTGCCCGAACGATAAGAGCCAGATTTTGTTTTGTCGAATTTATCAATCGTTCGAGGTTTTTTGTGAAACCTTTTGATCTTTGGTTGCAAATCTCTAGGGCAAAATATCTCATCATCTTCATCGTCACCATCCAACATCCTGTTCCGTTTCCCTACAGATCTGCTTTTGCAAGAAGTAGAAGCCACAGATATGCTGTGGTCTACCGACTGCCCTAGTCGTTTTGTCTTGGATGTAGGATGTTTGAATAGTTGAGATTGCGTCCGCGGCGCAATATGCTTCCGCTGCAGCTGTTTCTTTCCATCCGCTTTCGACCATTCTGCTTTCACGAAATTTTTTGCAGTAATTATCGTGAATCCGATGCCTGTGTATTCCGTTAATAGCCTAGCAAAATGTTGACAGTGATGACAGGGATTTTTATCAATATATATTTGGGCCCGAAGTCCCCGCTCCCAAAGTTCGTCGAGCCTAAACATAGCTATATCGCCGGTTTGGGCATCGTAGATTATGTCGAGGACAAGCATCAATATGAGCTTCTTTTCGACGTGACAAGCCGCGTATCTTCCCACTTCATTTTTGTCCCAGCAATTTCCTGGAAGGTGGAAGCCCAAGGAATTGCAGAATTGCAGTACTTGCTACATAATTGATAGATTAGCATCAAAGTATGAGGGACGAGCAAGAGTATCATTTGTAGTCTGAACCTTGCAGCTATCTACAACATGATTGGTTGTCTTTTAGCTTTATTGACACTTACAGCTGAGCAAAATTCGTTATCTCGCAGTGAATCATCATGATCTCTCTTTCCCCAGCCGCTTGCAGCTTTAAACCTGACCCTTTCACCTTCAAGACGGATGACTCCAAAAGTTTTGCCTGATGGACCTGAGCTTTTGTACGTTGCTATCGGCTGTGCAAACATAACTCTACCTTCCATTCTCAAGAAGTGGGCGTCATCGCTATTGACAGGTTGTGCGGGGGAAAGAGAAGTGATTGAAGTTTCTTTGAAATATCTTGCCATGGATTTGCATGCTCTTTTCAAAGCCGATATATGTTGCAATGAGTAAGGCCGCCTTTCAGGGAGAGTATACGTTAAGCCATGAGCCAGCTCTGGAATTAAAGTACACTGTGTCAACTTATGTTCATTGTGTACTGAATGTTGCTTTGGGGCCGCCTGGTATTCAATCAAAGGTCTTGTGCTAGCGCTGGCCGTGGTCCTTGTAGGAGTTTGCACAACTTCAATAATCGGTTTTGGCAAACCATAGGAGTCAAAGATTTCATTCTTCTTCCGGTGTCGAGGCATTTCTGTCGTTGTGCATTAGAGTTAAAAGGGGTTGAACAGTCAGAAGTTTGAATATTGAAGCAAGGGAAGCTGAAAATTCACAATTTGTGCGAGGCTTGAGGGGAAAAAGCAAAGTTGTGGCAAATGTAACCGATCTTGATACCCAATGTAATAGGTCACTTTGAATCTCTCGCCGACGGCTGAACCCGAGACTACAATTTCCCGTAATAGTATGGAGTGAGTAAGTCTACCTAGTGTCCAACCGAAATTACCTCACTCAAGACATTGGAAGAACATGCATAATGTTTCTCTGATCTGTCAGGATATACTTTTGAGCAACGTCATTATTCACTCCTTAATGTCGGATTCAGACTCAAAACTTTATGAACTATTCGAAGGTCCCTTTGTACTCTGCACATTCATCATCGTATCGGTTGCTGGACCGAAATCAAGGGCAGCTCTCGTCATCGTATCAAAGCTAGTAGGTATCCGATGTGGTGTACTCGAAAGGCTGACAGCAATATCAGGAGCGCCGCTATGTGACTCAGTTTTGATACAAACTGGCAGCGACTGAAAGTAACCTATCCACTTTCCTGCACAGTGTTTCGGCCACTATGCATTTTTAAGGGAAAATATACTGTGTTCTATTCCTTGCATGATATGCCTGTTTCAACAATAACGAATTTTTTGACAGCCTTCGAATTCATAAAATAAAATGTGATCCGTAAATTCTACGTCACCAAAAGGAGATGATATCAATCAGATCAAGGGGTTTTATTGATTTCATGTCTCATAATGACCGACAGCTAAGGTTGAGCTCGATGTTATCTACATAAACCCTTGGTAGAGTACTTTTTGGTGATTAGTCCACCCTTTTCATTGTCAGGCCGTTTCTGACCTTTTCCACTCGTTAACTCTGCCATCATGTTTGTTTCCCAGGGAATTTTACTCGTTGTGCTTTCTATCTTGGATCCTTCCACGGCTTTCGTTCTTGATAAAAGACAAGCTGCGGAATCTTCATGTCCTCCACAACAGACTATTACTGTAACTGCATTTGAATGTCCGATTATTTCTTCTCCTGTGCTTCCTAGCAGTGGAGTATATTCGACTGCCGATTTCACATCTGCTTTTACCAGTTCCGAGGTTTTAGTTAGTACAACAGTATTGAGCAGTGTCGACTATGCCTCGACTTCTTCAATACCATTGGAGACCAGCTCACAATCATTGATCCTTTCATCATTTGTTTCTACTTCAGGTGCAGCAGCCACTTCCACAAGTCAGAGTCCTGTCTCTTCAGCTATATCTTCCACGCCTGCCTCATCACTCTCTTCCGAGTCTTCACTTCCATCTAGCAGTCTTGCTGTTTCTGCAACCAGCATTGAGACTTTATCGATCAGTACGGTAGCACCCACTTCGATTCCAGCTTCCACGTCGAGCAGTGTCATAACATCCGAACCTTCTTCGGTAACTCAGAGCTCGGTTGGATCTTCATCGGTTGTCTCAGAAGTTCCTAGCTCGCTAGCCTCATCAGGAGCTGGTTTCACTACTTCAACCGAAGCCTTGCCATCTTCTTCTTCTGAAAATCCAGCTACCAGTAGCAAAAATATACTTTCTTCAAGTCAGGAAGCTAGCGGTTCTTCAGAACCAACGAGCATCCCCGAGTCATCGACAACAATTTCGGAATCGGCCAGTGTTATCCCAAGCGAAAGTTCTCTCTTCACTTCTCTAAACTCGGCGGGACCTATTACTTCATCCGAAATTTTCCCAAGTTCGAGCTTACTTCCTAGTACCGCAGCTTCCACCACATACATTTTGCCCTTACCCTCCTCATCCTCATTTATATCTTCCCAACTTCCATCCTCTGCCATTCCATCAACAACCATACTCACCGTAACCTCATCCGCATCCCTACCCGCCATCACATCGGTTACAGTAACCACAACAGTCATTAGTACAGTAGGAGGTCAAACCACCACTGTCTTATCAACGTTCACACAAGTCACTACTGTTGAGACAACTATAGCAACCACTGTTCAAGTACCCACCACCGTGATTAGCTTGGGAACCACAACTGTTATACAATACACTACAGTTACAGCTCCAGCTTGCACAGTACGCCCCTCGTTGATTGATGGTGGCTTTGAAGCTGGAAACAGTATCGATCCATGGGTCGCTGTTGCCACGGGACCTAATCCTCCTACCTACACCACTTCAGCTACTCCCCACAGTGGATCTACCAGCTTGTGAGTTTTTCCTTTCATCATAAGAAAAAAGAAGAAACATCTGCTGACATATCAACTCCGATTCTCAGAGAACTACTTTTCTTCCCATCATCTTCAGCCAGCTCATACATAACTTTAACGCAAACTGTGACCGCATGCCCCTCTTCCAACTACCTCGTTACCGGTTACGTAAAAGCAAACAATGCACTCAGCATTGAGCAGACTTCTAATTGTTTCATCTATCGTAAGTCCGCTCTTTTATCCATGGTTCTCAAATCCCCTGTTGACCACACCCCCTTTCGATTTTTTGTTCTAAATAAATCACTAACTCTCTCTCACTCCTAAAGTTGAAACGCCCACGCAATCTTCTCCGCTCACTTTGATTAATTCCTCCACATACCCAGGTTGGAGCATGGTCTATCTATTCTTCACTGCTCCCTCGGGCGACGGTCCACAGGATGTGCAGTTAACAGTGCATTCTTACTGTGATAGTGGGGCTATTGATGCACCGGGATTGTTTGTGGATGATTTCGTCGTTATTGGATAATAGCTCAAACGGGATGAGAAGAATGTGAGTTGCGTGCGAAGTTGGAGGCGGGGGTGTAAGGGGGGTGGAAGGATTAGATTATGGCAATGAGAAAAGAGTAGGAAAGAGTGGTTTTGGGGATTTTCTCTTTTAATTATTGTATTAGTGCGTTAATTAAGGGGGTTGTGAGGTTATTTTTGATTGTTGGTTTGGTGAGTGAGTAGTTGCCTCATGGTACGCACACGAAATAATAGCTAGATAAATTCAGCAGTTGTTAATCTCCGGAAATGCCATGCTTGCATTGAGGTCGATTTTTAGATGATTAAGATTAAATATTATATCGGGGAAGGGTTAAATTGTCGGGAGTGAAGTAGAACAATGATGCTGTCTTGTGTGAATTGAAATCGTATATGGATATTTAGTGTGTAGTATTCCACCAGGCCTGATAATCATTGTAACGCGAACACCTCTACGCATGAACGCAAGAAGCCAATCGATAAATTCGAAGTCAGAGTCAAAGCCATTACGTAACAGAAGATATAAAACACCAGTCAACCTTTCACACTCATACTCTCTGCCTTTCCGCCATGAACCATCAATTTTCTACCAAGACCTGCGTCCCAAACCAAATTAAACGAATAAAAACCCCATGGATTTCTAGAAACTCCATCTTCCTGTCCAGGTACTTCTCTCGTCCATATCGGCTCCGCAGAATTTCTCAGCATCTTATTCAAAATCTCTAACAGTTTCATGCCTATGGCTGTAATTCTCAAGAGTGGTCTCTTCTTGGCTACTTATTTAGGGTCTGCCGGGACGATTTTGACGGCGAGGACTCTAAGTTTGAAGAGCGGGGTAAGAAATGCAAAATTTCGGTTGGTTATGATGATAAGTAAACCAAAGTAACCAACGATGTTGTCTTAAGAGACGCTCTATATCCTACAAGTTTTGGGGAATAGTAGTGAGCCTTTGGGAATGAACGAAGCATTTGTTTTCTATCAATTATCATCAGATTTAAACACAAGTATTCAGGCCATTACATCCAATAAACTCGGAGTTGGGAGAATATCCCCCAAAGGAAAATTATGTTTAAGGACTTCTTGCATGCGTTTGCATGATGTCATTTTTGGGGGGCTTCATGATAATTTAAAGAAAGGTACTTGGCTTGATTGAATAAGCAGCCCAGATGATACGTAAATAATAGAAAACTCCAAAATCAGCTCAATGGGAAGCTTTGAAAATGATCAATGACTGGTGACGTCCTTTCCATGAAATGCCTTTATATTGATATATCTTGGTAGATATTCAATATTATACCAATTGCAATATGGAAGTCTCGGGTTGCGGTGGCTGCTTAGTCAGATTTGAGGCTCTGTTCTAACCTTAAATCGATGAAGGTGGTCCGTGATGATCACTGATTCATAATCCCCGCCACCATTGCTGTCACGTTGTAACTTGTGGGTTCACATTGATCCACCACTTGCAATCCACTTGTGATCCAGCACGACAACTTCAACATGATCGAAAGATGAAGAAGACTTTGCTTCTTTGCTTTATCCATGGGTAAGCTCTCTCCCTGCCCTTCAGATGTTACACATACTGATCTTTGAAAAAGGTTCAAAGGAGGAGACGATACATTTGGGTCGTTTCCTGAACATCTTCGAGCACTCGTCAGCCATAGTCTTCCAAAAGTTAATGTTCGCGCAATCACCTACCCACAGTATGAAACTCGAGGTGATTTGGGAGAATGTGTGAGCAGATTCAGAGATTGGTACCGCCTCCCGTAGAGTTATCGTTGAACCTGAAGTTAACTGGTTTTATTACAGGCTTCAAGAAAAGATAATTGACATAGAAGTCAAAAATGGAACACCCTCTCCAACTGTCGACCCTTCAGTCCGCACAATACTCATTGGCCATTCTATGGGAGGAATCGTTGCTGCGGATACAGTACTAGGGATCACCTCCGATAAAGTGCTAGATTCTAAGGAAACCACAGATGCATTGAATGCTTTTATGTTTCCATACATTCAGGGCGTCCTAGCATTTGATACACCTTACTTGGGAATATCACCAGGCGTTGTTGCTCATGGTGCAGAAGGTCATTATAACGCAGCCACGTCGGCTTTCGCGCAAGTGAGTAGCTTTGCAGGTGCAATATGGGGTGAAAAAGAGGTAGACAAAACCGTAAATGAAAAGAAGCCAGTTGCGGCGTTGCCAGCACCACCGGCTCCAGAAGCACCTGCGTGGAAGAAATGGGGAACATTGGCTATGTATGCTGGAGCTGCTGGAGCAGTAGCTGTCGGAGGTGCAGCTGCGTACTTCAAGAAGGATCAAATTCAGGAAGGATGGTCATGGGTAGGATCACATCTTGAGTTTGTAGGATGTCTAATGAAAGGCGAGGAGTTGAAGAGGCGGGTCTCTGGGATGGTTACTTTGCAAAAGGAGTTACAGGTCGGTTGGGCAAATTTATACACCAGGTTGGGCAAGGAGGCAGTTAGTAAAGCCGATGGGAGCCTGGTGGGGAGTGTGATGGGAAATCAAAGAACGTTTTGCAATCTCCCCAAAAGCAATGCTAAAAGTTTCTTCCGAGAGGCCATTAACGATAAAGCTGCGGATGAAACGAGTGCACATATGAGTAAGTTTCCAGAAGGCTTTCGGGTTTTCGGGGCTAATAGTTTTCTAGCTATGTTTTTCCCAAAAGATAATCCCGGATATTATGCTTTATCCGAAGATGCCAAGAAATTGATAGTGGAGTGGTCGAGTAATGAGTGGTACGAATCGAGCACAAGACAATCGAGCACAGGACAATCGACCACAGGACAATCGAGCTCAGGACAATCGAGCTCAGGACAATCGAGCTCAAGACGACCAAGCATAGGACATCCGAGCATAAAACGATCAAGTACAGGACAATCGAGTACAGAACAATCGAGCACAAGGCGATCGAGCACAGGACATTCGAGCACAAGACAATCGAGCACCAAACGATCAAGTACAGGACAATCGAGTACAGAACAATCGAGCACAAGACGATCAAGCACAGGACATTCGAGTACAGGACATTCGAGCACAAGAAGATCAAGCACAGGACATTCGAGCACAGGACATTCGAGTACAAGACGAAAATCCACCAAGGATATCAATGTCGAGCATGAATTGCGATGAGATGAATTTACTTGGAGTGAGATTTTGATAATGAAAACCGAGCCGGCGCACTGTTGACTAAGGATATACGGACTACACATAGACAAATTGCCCAAATTACTGTTGTTGCTTTTCTAGGAATGGATGAATACTCATACAATCCTATGCTAGATGTACCATGACTTTGCCCTTTATGCATTAATATCCAGGAGGCGGAGTCAGAGGATTTACAACCGTTCTAGCCACGGAGAAACGGCGATCTGACGGTATAGGTGAAAAAACTTTTGAGAGTCCAAATATTGGCACGAACCTCCGGCCTTGACTACATATGCTGTGACGCCATGTTGTGATGCCATGCCGTGTTTAATCGGGCATTTCCTCGGTCTATTTAGGGGTAACGCTCCAAGAACTTCCTGTTCTACAACATGATTATCGGGCACTAATTTCAGGCGCCGTCATGATTCCTCCTTGCCACGTTGGATGCAGGAAGGATTGTTTTCTCCCCTGAAGATTATAGTAACACAATTGTGACTAACCAACCATGTGGATAAGGGATGGTACGTCTAGGTTTGCAGATTGAAGATATTTTGCCAGTGATTATCAATTAGTTTATTTGATCTCATTATTTCGGAGTATGTTCCTATGTGCATGGCATCTCCTTGCATTTGTTCCTTCATTATTCATAATACATCTGATCCATGATTTACAACAAGAATGCAGCAAAAGTTGCAACACCGACACTTCCAACCCACACCAAGGATCCGATAGCACCATATTGCATATGACCGACAGTCAAAGCGCCAGCCGCGCTAGAACTTGATGCGGCAGCTGTTCCACTCGAGGAGGATGCGGTCGCGGTCGCAGTCGCAGTCGCGGAGGCCGGGAGGCTGGAGAGGGCTGCGTCAGCAGCGTAGCTTGCCGATACCCCGGTTCCATTCTTGCATGAGGAAGGAACGTCGGTTGCAGATCCTTGAACGAATGACACGGCGGCGCATTGGTAGAGAAGTCCTAGGGAAAGAGATGTGAGTTAGTTTACGGAAAGAAATATAGTACCCGAGGCTTGGCTAAGAGGGTTTGTATACCATCTGGGCCATCTGCGACAACATTTATGACACCCTTGTTTCCAGCGAATGTAGATGGAACCGTCACGCTTGGTTGACAGAAATCGCCGAGACCAGATTGTTGGACAGTGGGAATGAGGTTGGTCCAGTTTGCGGCGGCAGTGTCACTTCCCACCATTGCTCGGAGCAACCATGTTGTAGATGGGTGAGTGGTGGTCCTGTTTCCAAATATATTAGAGTTGATCTTGGTACCAAGCATACATACATTTTTAGGACGTAACCAACATTGAAATTGAATCTCCATCGACATGGAAATATGTGACATTGTGATCAAAAGCAACGGAAAATCCACCGCAAGGAGCTGTTCCCTCTGCATCGTCGTTGAAGCCATCTAGAGGAACATTAGCTTTCTTCTTTTCCTCACACCGATATCTGAATTCATGGAGCTTACAGGTTACGGGATGGTTCAAGAGGAAATGTGCAGAGCATTGGGAGATGACGGTAGCAAGACCGAGAAGAGCTGCAAGACGCGCCATTGTATGGAAGTTCTCTTTGTTAAGTTTGGGAAGAATTGGGTTGTTGGATGATCGAAAGGTCGAAAGGTGGAAAGATGGAAAGGCCAAGAGAAATGAAAGTTTCTTTGTAGTTGAGACTGGTATAGATAGGTAGATAGATGGAAGGCTAAATAATAAGTATCTAATTTATAATAATTCAATTCCTGGGGATGAGCAAGTTATTTAATCTTCTTTTGTGCATATTGTTGGATTGGATTGGGTATTGGAAAATTGCTCAAATACCGTCAAGGGCCTAGGAAGCTGGGACGATACCATGCTCGAGCCACATCGAAGGAATATCTTGCTCATTACTCGGTAGGGTGCGGTACGGTCGGTACCTATTGAATGGACCCTTGCCAAGATATGAGTTATGGAGTATGTAGTAGACATGCCACTATCCGAGGCGTGTTTCTCCGGGTGGTTACTTCCTAGTACCTAGTGTCCACATCAGAATATGAAATACCTACTAGATTGTAGTATCTAATATCTAATATCTTGCTCATTGCCCATGCTCAAGCCATGATGCTTGATAAATGAACTAGGGTATTTTTTCCGTAACCTTAACCTTATCCACTCCCTTGAGCTTATCATCTTGTGCCTTAAGCTTTGCGAACTCACCATTCTCTTCCATACCCATTCCAGAATGCATCCATCCCAACTCCACTCCCCAATTCCACATAAGATTATCAGTCTCCCGACTCATCACCTCGGAAATCTTTCCACAACTCACCAATCAATATTCGATAAGTAGGTACATATCATTCGAATGAGCAAGTTTTTCCATTTCTTTCCTTCCTCATTGCCATTCCATCGACGATCCTCTGGGGTGATCAGATGTGTTTCAAGTGGGGGATCCAAACCTCCCTTCTTCAACGAGCAAGATAAACGAGCGCAATTGAGCACATTTCAAGCCACTCGACAGGGATCATAGGCGACCTTAGCCGCTTGGCATACATATCATGGTGCTTCCTCTTTTCTAAAGTAAAATACTGCGAGTTTGATAAACGGTGAAAGATTGTTTGATCTCTCTTTTGGTTACGGTAATTCTAATTTTATTCTACTTGTTTTATTTTTGGTGATTGTTCGAGTTGGAAAATTACCTGAGATTGCGATAGATAAGGAAAGAAAAGGAAGGAATCAAGGAGGTTAAGAAGGAATCGTGACTTTTGGTGCATAGTTGCATTATTATCACCAACGAGACTTTTTTCGAAGGAAAACGAAATAATTACGATTTATCGAGTCGAACGGTAGCAGGAGAGGCGTTGGGAATTTACTAGTATTGTTCGAGATCCCACCAGTCTTGCATCGGTTCGAGCTTTTAGAGTTGGTTACGATAGTGGGGTAATCTTTCATCAACATACCCCTCGTCTCGCCTCATCATTAGGAAAAGGAGTCGACTTCCGCCAAGGAGAGATTTTCCGCTGGTTCGGAAGCCGCAGAGGCTACGACATTTACGAAGGGAAAGAAGTTTATGATTTTACGAAATTTTTGGGGGGAATATATCTAAGACAAAATGGACGCACTTATGAGTGGGATGAGTGGTGGCATGGATATGGGTTCGAATGGGATGTTCAAGCCGTATAATCAAAAACTGGCTTTAGGGTATTGGTATATTATTGCTGGGTTTGTGGGCGCGGTGCTGCTGTGTAGGGGGTTTGAGAAATGGAGGGATTGGGATAGGTCAGTGATTTCTTCTTCTTTGAGGTTATGAAGCGTGTTGTGATTGGTGGTGTGGAACTCGATTTCGTATGTCTCTACTTGGAAAGTTCCATGCATGAGACAGGGAGAAGCGAAGTTGTCCTTTTTTTCCTATGTGATGGGAATGATATAGGTTCGGATCGCTAACACACCTCAATAGACTTCGAAGAAGCCAGACGGGTACTCTGAGATATCCAACCAAACCTAGTAATCGCCTTCAGGAGATGTACGCAACAGCTACGGCCATTTTCCGAGAAATATCATATCCGCAAATTCACATCTCAACTCCTTATCTTTCATGGCTATCCCCTCCCTCGTCAGGCCGTGCTGTCCTTCTCCTTTGCTATTGGGCAATCTTGATTTTCATGATGACATATGGTGCCATTATAAAAGATGCCTACTACTACGAACGCATTGGATTTCGCGGCGCTTGGATCTCCGTTACACAAGTCCCACTTGTCTATCTACTTTCTTCCAAGTCGAATGTCATTGGAGCTTTGATTGGAAGTTCTCATGAAAGATTAAACTGGTTCCATCGCTGGGCTTCAAGGACTCTACTAATTACTGTTACGGTTCATGGTGCCTTTTTCTTCCGGGAATGGGTTCGAGCAGACTTTGTAGCTTTTGAGCTGAGTCTTATGCCGATGGTGAAATATGGGATGGGCGCATGGGGACTCTTAGTCTGGACATTTTTGAGCTCTTTAAGTCCATTGAGGAGAATGGCTTACGAAATATTCGTGTTGCAGCATATTGCTTGTGCGGGAGTATTCTTGTGGCTGCTGTACATTCATGTACCTGAATATGCTAGGTATAACGTATGGTTTGCTGTGGCAGCCGTGTCATTCGATTGGGTTCTAAGAGGCATCTTACTGATTGTCAGAAATTTCAGAGTGAAGGTTGTTGGAGCAGCCTGCAGAGGAGTGCAAAGAATTGGCCACCAGGCGGAGCTACAGGCTTTGAGTGACGATATAACTATAATCAGCATTAAAGACGCACCATTCACATGGAAAGCAGGTCAACACATGTATCTCTGGCTTCCGAGGCTTGGTCCACTTGAAACTCATCCCTTCACTATCGCGAGTCCATATCAGACATCGAATCAGTGTCATTGCAATGAAATTCAACTTGCAATCCGCGCCCAGAAAGGATTTTCACGAAGGATACATAATTACGCAACAAAAATGCAGCGCCTCGATAAAACCGCTATTTTGACGGCATTTGTGTCCGGTCCTTATGGTATCCCTCCAGTATGTGTATCCTCTCTTTTCACATCAGATCCATATTTTAACTAACTTTACTTGTAGAATTGGAGTTCTTATGAGACTATACTTCTGATCTCCGCCTCTACTGGTGCATCCTTTACCCTCCCCATCCTTGAATCCATACTTCATAATCCCGCACCAACATGTGTGCAGCGGATTCAGTTCCTTCTTGTAGTCCGCGAACGTAGCCATATCGATTTTTATACCAAGCGGTTAGGAAGCGCGTATGCTATTGCAGACAGGAGGGGTATTCAATTAATTGTGAAAATCGCCGTGACCGGCGACGATGGAGCATCAATGACCAGCTCCAAAGTGGAAGAAGGAAGAGCAGGATATCAACCAAGCAGCGAGGAGAAAGAAGGTGACATGACCACTAAATCCATTGCATCTAGTACGACGACAGAGGCAGGAGGATGCTGTTGTAATCCACGATCAAGTGGAACAGCAAACGACGATGATATTTCAATCCGAAGCCTCAAACGTCAATCATATAGCGACGAAAAAAAGACTGATGAAACATCCTATGTCACCACTCAACAAATATCCCGCACCTCTGAGGAATATCGACAAGCTGGTGGTGGTGGATGTTGCTGTGCCAAGAAACCAGAAAAGAAATCAAGCGAAAAAGCAGAGAGGGGAGAAAGAGATATAATATACCTAAGTGGAAGACCCGATATAAGTCAATTTATTAGAGGACCAATAGAAGCCACAGGAGGAGAAACTGCAATAACAGTTTGTGGAGGAAAGAGTTTAGTGGCTAAGGTTAGAAACTCGACTGCGAGGTTGAGTGATGAGAGGGCTGTGCATAAAGGGACCGGGGCAAACGGCATCTTCTTGCATGTCGAGGAGTATTGTTTTTAAGCGAATTCCGATATACCTATCTACGTAGTTTATATTACATCGATGTTTGTATGATTCTTGGTTGATATCTTTGGGCTTCAGGTTTTTTCTTGCTGAAAGATACATGGTGTGGTATTGTGTACCTCTATTTGATCTCTCGTGGTGAAACGCCTGCAAGTCATCGCATGGGTGAGTCACGTGGTATATATCGCACTCACTTTTCCCTATTAGGGCTAGAGCTTACGTCGTATCTAGTGTTGTTCGTGGTACAATTTTTATACAATCATATGAAGCGATAGACTTTGATTCATCGATTCACATCATCAATTCTCAGGCTGAAAAGCGGCGACTCATCTTATGTTAAGTGCCATACGCACGAATATATATACTCGATGGGTGTCAGCTAAGCAACTACTCATTATGATCCCAGCGGTGAGTTATTACACGCTTTGACGTACAATGAGTCTGACTGAGTGAGATGATGCGCTTATCCCTGGCTCTATGTCATAAAATGATTCGTTCCCGTAAGGTTACATTCCTTCCTACGACGAGAAAAATGGAATCTGGTGCCGATTTACCCTCGGAATTTCTTGGCACCATCTTCACTTGTTCTATTAATATTACATCTAATATATCCGATCTCTTACTCTATCTACCATCTGCAAGTAATTTTCATAACTGAAATTTCTGTGATTTACCAAGAGGATTATATGTATCACAAGAACGATATATAATTCATGAGATGCGTATACAACCATGTCCACAAAACCACGCGATCTTCTCCCGCCCTCTAGGCATCACCTTTGGGGTCCAGAACGTCGTCGTCTTTCCTCTCATCTCATACAAAAAGCTCTAGATGCCCTTCCCGGTTCTCGTTCTTCGGATTCCTCGCAAAGTAAACCGTATAGTGCGATTAAGAGACCATATGAGCAAAATAAATTTACAGGGAAGGCGAGTAGATCGTATGTGCCTGAAGCACCTGTTAGTGAGAGGGTAAAGAGGAAGGAGAGACCGTTGACGCCGAGGGAGGGGTATGGATTGGGGGTTTTTGGGATGGGGTTTGAAGTTCTGGAGGTGGATGGGGTGGGGAATAGGGAGGAAGGTGTGGAGAGGAGGTTTTTTGGTCAGGGGGGAAGTAGTTTTTTTGGTGCGTTGCCGAGGGAGGCGAGGATGGAGATTTATGAGTGGGTGTTGGGAAGGAGGGTGTTGCATATTGTGAGGAGGAAAACTAAATTGGGTCATGTTGTTTGTAAATGTGAAAGGAGAAACTCGGATGGAAGAGATACGAGGGAAGAAGATGCGTGTATGGTTGCGGGGTGTAGGGGTGTGAAGATTGTTGGGGGTAGTGGAGTGCATGAGGAAGTTGGAGAGGGTAGCGGAGGGTTAATTCAATTACTGCAGGTTTGTAGACGGATGTATGTTTATATTTCATGTATTTTTCGAGGTGATCCTCGATTTCTTGGTGATTTTTCTTTCTTTTTTTATTTTGATTGGATATCTAAATGTACTGGAAGAATTAAATAAGTCCAGCCAAAAACTAACATAACTTAGATATTCCGAAGCAATTCCCCTTCTCTACTCAGCCAATACCTTCGATTTCGACAGCATGGAATCACTTATCTCCTTTAGCAACGAAATACTTCCTCGGCGTTTCGATTCCATCACTTCAGTAACACTCTCTTTTTCCTTTGACACCTCCTCTCGTAAGTAATTATAATACATCCTTCACTTCAACACATCCCCCATCTCGTCCCTCCTATTTCCTTCCCACCCAACTCCCCAGTATCCCCCATCTAATCCCCCTAATACTACATTCCCCAACCCACTAACCCCAAAACCCAGTCTTCAACGAATCCTCCAGCAACAACGTTCCCCGCTGGGAACGCACATGGATGATAATCGGATCGATGAAATCCCTCCAAAATCTCCAAGCGACAATTATCTGGCCGCGAAAAATCCCAGCTTGGAGTCATGAAATGAGATTGTTGGAGCCACTGAAGATGGTTGCGGGTCTGGGGAAAGAGGCGTTTGTGGTTAGATTGAGGGAGTTGAGCGTGGAGGCGAGGGGGAGGGGTAAAGCTAGAGCGTTTGAGGTTGGGAGGGGGTTTCATGTTGGGTGAGTTTTTGGGAGGTTTCTTTAGTGCTGTTTTTGTGGAAGTTTCTTTAATGTGGTTTTTTAATTTGCGGGGATATGTTTTGCTGTTCTTGGGGAGGATAGGGGTTTGGGTTTGGGTTTGGTTTTTCTTTGATTTTTGCTTGCTTGATTGATAGGGACTTACTAAGTATACGATATTCAGGAACGCGAGGGTAGTACCAGCAGTAGGATTTGACGAGGAAACAGAGGAGGATTTACCATTTAAAATTGTGAGGATGAAAGTATAAGGATTGAAGAATTTGATATAGAAATCATATTTTTCAAGCTTTTGTCAAAGAAATGATCGTGAGAAAGTTCCTGGGAAAGATGGTATGTGAATACGAGAACAGCTCTTTAATTCAGGTTCGTGGATGATTTGATTTGATGTTTTTGTAATACTTGAGGGATTTGGCTGGAGGTTAGATATTACACTGAGTTTTGCGGCTGTTATTTTATTGCTTGCTGGTGGATATAAATCATATAATTCATAGTTTTTGATGATGATAATAATGGTTCTGCAACAGTCAGTCATCTTTGAAGATTTGAATTCAAGTCACCGTCTCCAGAAACTCATCCATCGTTCAGTTTAAAATGGTTGTGAGCTTTAGTGAGGATCTCTTTTGGAAAGATGTAGAATGATGGGATAGGACGGGGGATGGAAGATGGGAAATGTGGGATGGGAGATGGCATCTTCAAGAATGTAAATATGTAAGATTAACTTCCGGACAAGACCTCCTCTCAACTGTAAATTGCAAATTGCAGCAAGCAAGAAGCGAGAAAATGATATGAAACTTCCAATTCCAAAGACAAAAAAAAAAGACAAACTCCCTCGAGCAGCGAGCTCGAAGCAAAAAACATCTAACATCAACATAGAAGACACGTACAAGACCTACCAATCCCCAGTATGAGAACCTGACCCAACTCCAACTCAAATCCAACTCCGATCCACTCCAGCACAACCATTCCTACCTATTAAATATAGCATAACATCGATATCAATGTACTTCCAAGTCCCAAGTCCCAAGTTCCCAGAACCCAACAACCACATCGAATTCAAAACGCTAGCAAACCAACCCTCCGGAAATACAGAGTGAATAGTAAAGCAGATAATTAGCAGTCTGAATATCAAGGTTTACTTATCTACATCTAATTAGTAAACAAAGAGACAAAGAAGAGTATAATCTGACAACTATCACGAAGCCAGCATGAAAACCCATCCGACCAATTGCAATAGCAATAGCAAGAATCTACGGACCCAACCTCGCAGGAGCAAAACAAAGCAAACCTCTCCCGACCCCCGCATCCATCTCCTGCCTATCCAAACGACACCTGGGCCCGCTCAATCAGCTACAATGCCCCGTAACCTGGTGCAGTTCACCCCTAGGCCTTTCCTTTCCCCGGCCGCCTAAAATCAAAAAACATTAGAGTGAAATTATTTTGGAAATAAAAGAGAGAGAAAGAGATGCATGATGTATAATGTATGATTTCCTCCCGTTATTTATATCAAACGATTATAGGATATTCTTTCTGTTTGATTCCTTTAATACTTAGGTAGGTAGGTAGGTATGGATGGTATTTGTTTTATGACTACCTATCTATCTCCTAGGAATTCTACTATTATATGGATTAATAGATATTTATTTGTGTTTATACCGATCAATAGTCTAGGTTTTAAGCTCATCAGGCTTATTCTTCCTTTCCCTCTGGTTCGTAACTTTCATTCCATTCACATTCTCCATACTTTCAAATTCGGATATGGATATATCCCCAAGCAGCCAGCTCACAGCTTACAATTTACAAAAAACGCTTCCCACCTCTCCTCCACCATTTTGTACCAAAGTGCTTCTTTCCCTAACCCAAGCATTCAATCCCCTCCTACCATTTTCCACTCCCACTCCACTCATCTTCCAACCTCCTACACTCATCTCCGCAGGACTTTCTCCCCATGTATTAATCCATGTTATACCTGCTTCTATCTTTCCAATCACTTCATGACATTCGTTTATATTCTTTCCGAAGACACCGGCTGCCAATCCTAATTTTGTGTCGTTGGCGCGACGGATAACTTCTTCTGTGGTAGAATATGTAAGAATGCAGAGAACTGGACCGAAAATCTCTTCCCGGGTGATAAGCATGTCATCCGTACAATCTGTAAAGACGGTAGGGCGAACCCAAAAGCCTGATTCGTGACCGCTAGGAATGTCGGTTGGCTTTTCTGGGCCACCATAGAGGAGTTTTGCTTTATCGTTTTCAATTCCTTGTTGGATATAGTTGAGGACTTTCTTTTGATGGATCTCTGAAACGAGGGGACCAAAATTACTATTGGCATCCATTGGCTCCAAGGCTCTAATATATTCCATCTTTTCGAGAAGACGTTTTTCGAATGCTGATTTCATACTTTCGTGTACAAAAACTCTAGTTCCGTTTGTGCAGACTTGTCCGGTGGAATAAAAGTTGGCCATCATCGCTCCATCAACAGCATTTTCAAGATCGGTATCTGGAAGGATAATGAGAGGACTTTTACCGCCCAACTCCATGGTAACATATTTCATGCCACCAGCTGCAGCAGCAGCCACCTTTTGACCAGTTGAGACTTGACCTGTGAAACTTACTTTGGCAATACCTGGATGGGTGGTCAAATACCCTCCTACTGATCCATCTCCATGCACGATATTGAAAACCCCCGGGGGAAGTCCAGCTTCTGCATACACTTGTGCGAGAATTTGGCCATGCAATGGAGTTACTTCGGATGGCTTATAGACCATACAATTTCCGGCTGCCAAGCAAGGCGCTGATTTCCATAAAGCAATTTGAATAGGGTAGTTCCAAGCTCCAATACCGGCGCATACACCCAAAGCTTCCTTTTTGGTATATATCCATGCATCTGGTCTCAATTGTGTAGTTTCTCCATTCATTCCTCCACTTGCAACTAGGTTCGCAAAGTATTCTAACACATCTGCTCCAGTAACGACATCGACAGCGCTGGTTTCCGAATATGCCTTGCCCGTATCGTGTGTTTCCACCTTGGCTATTTCGTCATTTCGTTCGCGAAGTATCTGGACGGCTTTAAGAAGGATTCGGGAGCGGATCATTGGTGGTGTCTGTGACCATGATGGAAATGCTTTTTGGGCCGAAGCTACAGCGGAATCGATATCTGATGGTGATGCTTTTTGTACATTTGCTAGAGGTTTTCCTGTGGCGGGGTTGACTGTGGTAAATGTTTCTTTAGAGGTAGCTTGTTGAACTTTGCCATCATAGTAAAGTTTTTGTTCTGCGTATGTAGACATTTTGATGATAAGTTTTGATGATAAGTTTTAATAATCAATATTCTGGTAATTCAATCAATCAATCAATGAATTTCAGACTTCACTCTTTTCACCAATGAAAGGCTTGGGATGATACTATACAATGACGAGAGGTAAAAGAGTAAATGGGTCTCGAAGTAAATAATTTCCTAGTGGGGTAAAATGAAACCGAAGGACCCTGGTGTCTCGGTAGGTAGCTAAGAAAGCAACGGACTGAATCAGCCTTTTCACACCAATACTAATTGGGAATCGTGTTTGTGTGGAGTGAGAAAAATGGGGTTGACAAATTTGATGATGAAAAAAGATGGAAACTTTCCAGAAATGGCGGAATGTCGGACCATAAAGAGGATCGATTGTGTAAGAGACTAATAAGAGTACCCGAGCGGAATACTGAATACGGGAATCAATCGCCTTCTTCTCGGAGAATTGCGAGTGAGAACTTAGAAGAGAAGTATAAGGCGATTCTCCGATGTAACCAGCCACCTTGGACCAGCAGGCTAGTAGACTAGCAGACTAGCAGATTCCGATGGTGAGAGAAGGAGAGAGATGATGATAGATGTTGACATCGATATCGATAGCGATAACGATGATAAGAAAGGAGGTACTAGGTAAGTACATACCGGTATTGTATGTAGCTAATGCATGAGATGGTGTATTGGTATCATATAGAGTAAAAACAATTTACCTCGAGATGGTTAGATTATAGATATGAATACCGGTGTTTGATGAAGTTTGTTAAAAGGGAGATGAAACGATAAAACGATTAAGGATATACTAGGTAACTTCTCTGTAGGGAAAAACTCTCTTCATTCGGCAATGACGATGATTTACCAGGGGTAATCCGAAAGCTTGGCACGAACATGGGTGAAACTCAATCTGTCGTCATTTGGAAGTTATTATTGGTCAAAATGTCTCAGTCCCCGGAAAAAGGCTTACATGGACTAAACCTCTTTGAATTTAATTGAAGCTACACTAAACGACATCAGAGTAAAAGATCCTTTTTCCTTTGAAGATTTTACTTTTATCTTCTATCGCTCGGTCACCAGTTAGATTCTCTTTGTTGATTGATTGTTCGATTGATTGATTGTCCGATAGGTATAATATGATATCTATTGACTATCTCGATCCTACCCATTCAATCATGTATATTCCGTAAGTCTTTCCTTGAGGTGCTTGAATGTTCACATCTAAGATTATGAGATGAGAGTCAGAAAGGACCCCCGTCTTGGTTGTACAAATGTAAAAAAAAGTCATGGCATGATTCATTCTATGATCAATTTCTCTCCTGAGAACTACTGAAAGGTCAGTTCACTGCTTTTAGTCTTTTTATTACATAGTAGTTATTGAATTGATCCTTGGTACGGAGTAAAGTAAGACTTTTAGACACTCAGAAGTCAGAACCCTAAACATTTACTAGGAAGTTTAGTTTCTTAAGCCTACTTATATCTTTCTTTAAAAAAATTTATTAAAACTTTTTTTTTCTTGTATACTTTATAAATTTTCTCATCATCTTTCTATATCTATCTATCTACTAAGATCGATCGATCATCTCGATTTATCTTCACCGTCATTTCATAAAAGTCATCCTCAAACAATAATCGGAAAGGTATTCAAGGCCACGCGCCCTCTTTCCCTACTTGGCAATTTTATCTATCATTTACCATTTTACATTTTACACTTTACATACTACTCAAGTAATTCAACCCCAGAGAGACCCTCTCCGATTGTCATTTTATACCGCCTTATACCAAGTAACCTCGATCGATTTCAGAATCCACTTCCAGCCCCTCCTTGACTAGGATCTAATCATCTCAAGACTCAATAACCTAGAAATCACCTGAGGACGACTTTCTACGGAGTACATTATACTATTACAAATAGATTTCTTCTTTCTTCTCCATATCTTTTCTTCTGAATAGCTTCTTCTCCTTTGGATCTTTCATTCAACCCGAACAAAAAGCGTTCAAGATGACTACCGATCTTTTATCTTCATCACAAGTCAATGACTTTGACTATGTCATTGTTGGAGGTGGAACGGCAGGATGTGTTATTGCTAGCAGACTTTCCGAATATTTACCCAATAAGAAGATTCTTATGATCGAGGGCGGTCCAAGTGATTTCAATAATGATAAAGTATTGAAGCTCAAGGAATGGCTCACGTTACTTGGTGGAGAGTTGGATTATGACTATGGAACCACCGAGCAACCAAATGGTAACTATGATCTTTTCAGGAGCAATTGAAATCGACGCTGACAGCAATTAGGAAACTCATACATTAGACACTCACGTGCTAAGGTTCTTGGAGGCTGCTCTTCTCACAATACCCTGATATCATTCCGTCCATTCGAGTATGATTGTCAAATTTGGGAGAGTTTAGGATGTAAAGGATGGGGATTCAAGACTATGATGCGTCTCATTGATAACCTCCGCAATCAAACCAACCCAGTTCATCCACGTCACAGAAATCAAATTTGCAAGGATTGGGTTCAATCTTGCTCTACTGCCATGGACATTCCCATCATCCATGATTTTAACCACGAGATCCGTGAAAAGGGTGCCCTCGAACAAGGTGTAGGTTTCTTCTCAGTATCCTACAATCCAGATGATGGACGAAGAAGTTCCGCATCTGTCGCTTACATTCACCCAATTCTCCGGGGAGCCGAGAGTCGACCAAATTTGACCATCCTTACCAATGCATGGGTCAGCAAACTCAACTTCGACTCCAACAAAACCGTCAAGAGCGTAAACGTCACCTTGAAATCCGGCGAGAAACTCACCGTCTCTCCCAAGACCGAAACTATCCTCTGTGCTGGCGCAGTCGATACCTGTCGTCTCATGCTACTTTCTGGAGTTGGCCCCGCCCAACAACTCAAAGACCTCGGTATCCCCGTCATACACGATCTTCCCGGTGTAGGGGAAAACCTCATCGACCACCCAGAATCCATCATCATGTGGGAACTCAACGCCCCAGTCCCACCACAAACAACCATGGACAGCGACGCAGGGATATTCCTCCGTCGAGAACTCCCCAACGCCGCCAAAAACCACACTCACCCAGAACTCAACCCTAAAGGACTCCCAGACGGCACCATCGCAGACATCATGATGCACTGCTACCAAATCCCCTTCTGTCTCAACACCGCTCGTCTCGGCTACGACGCCCCTCTAAACGCCTTCTGCATGACCCCCAACATCCCACGTCCCAGATCAAGAGGACGCATCTACTTAACCTCATCCGACCCCTCCATCAAACCCGCCCTCGATTTCCGCTACTTCACCGACCCGGAAGGCTACGATGCAGCCACCATCGTCGCAGGTCTCAAAGCCGCCCGCGAAATCGCAAAGAAACCTCCCTTTTCCAACTGGCTCCTCCGCGAAGTAGCTCCCGGTCCCGAAATCCAATCCGACGAGCAGCTTTCAGAGTACGGGAGAAAAGTAGCTCATACCGTGTATCATCCTGCCGGAACGACTAAAATGGGCAGTGAAGAGGATAAGATGAGTGTGTGTGATGAGAAATTAAAGGTTAGGGGATTGAAGGGAGTGAGGGTGGCGGATGCGGGGGTTTTTCCTACGATGACGACGATTAATCCCATGTTGACTGTTTTGGCGATTGGGGAGAGGGCGGCGGAGATGATTGCTCAGGAGGCGGGGTGGAGGGGGATGGTGGAACCGAGGTTGTAGGTTGGTTGGCTGGGTGGAAGGAAGGGAAGGGAATGGAAGAGAAGGGGAGAGAAGGAAATGTGTATACGAATATGAATATGGATATAAATATGGATATAGATATAATAACTTTAGGTTGAATAGGTAGATAGATGAGATAGATTTAAATACCTACTTTCAGTAAGTAAGTCAGTGGTATGTATGTACCTATCTATCTATGGCAAGGTTAGGTTAGGTTAGGTGGATAAGATTTGATATTTACTTTTTTTTTTCTCAACATACATATGTATTTATATATTTATATACAAGTGCCTAGGTAAATAGAAGTATATAAATACGAGTGAGATCTTATAAGCAAGTAAGTGAACAATCAAGATGAATATCAAACTGAGAAAAGCAAATCAAAGCAAATCAACTCAAATCATATCAGATCAGAACGATGTTCATAGGTAGGTAGAGTAGGTAGGGCAGATAGCTAATACTTTAATACCCATATTATATTATATTATATTACTTTTTTGTTCCTTATCCTTTACACTCTGCACTCCGTTTTTATCATCTCATTCTATCATCACTCACCTCTTCATTATATCTTCACTCTTTTCAATCAATTTCTTCATCTTTCATTTCACTTCATTTTCTTTCTTTCTCACCCTCCCACGCAGATTCTCTCCAATCACAATCGGGAATATCCAACTTCTTCTCCTTCCCTCCTCTTCTTCCTACAAATTCATTACATTCTTATCAATTCCATACTACGCTTTCCCAGACCCGAAATTAACGCCACCTTCCGCTCATTCCACATATCATACCTATCCATTGCCCAAGAAAACGATTAAAACTGTCCTTGCTATTTACAAGGCGCCCATGAACTCATACAAACCCCCAAACCAACAAGACGCCCGCTCAAATTCCCAGACATCTCCGCGTTGTTACAAGGCTTCCCCCCTGGTGCAATGTAATGCAACAGAAACCCGAAGTATCTCTTCTCATCAGTTGTGGTATCTCTACTCCTCTTCATCCTCATCCATTACGTTTGCTCTTTAATCACTTCCATATTTCATAAAATGGCTTTTCAATAGTTAAAGCCGCCATAATTCGAGTTTCGAGGTTGGTGGCCAGGACTGTGCTGGTAATCCATATCTTGATAGACAGTGTTTCTTCGCTCATCTTCGAGAAGGTCCTTAACTTCCCAATTGTTCTGCTTGATGCCAACAGAAAACTCGAGATCTTCTTTAGTAATAGAATCCCAGTACTGTTTGAGGTGTTAATAGAGTAAATTGTGAGTTATAGTTAACACTCACCTTGTAAATCATCATGACAGCTAAAAGATTAGCAATTGAAGCAAAAAATAATCCATCCAAATAATGGCTGATAGCGTTGCAAATGCTAGTACTGAATGCATAAAGTACAACTTGACCCGCAACAAAGAAGAAAAGGGCAAACGAAAGTTCACCCAGGGGCCAACGATCCTGAAGTGTGTTTACTACAAGAATTACTTGCATAATACCGTAAATGGCCAATTCAATAGCGGAAAGTAAGTATAGCACAACGAAAAGTCCAACAGTTCGAGTAGGGCCAAGTCCTGCCCAGGACATGTAGGTAGCAAGCGAAACGAGGAAAGTAAGAGCAAACATAGCGAGACTGATTGAGCGGAGAAGCCAAACAGAGATTCGTGTTCCATCTTCGTATAACTGAAATCCAACAAATCCATTAATCAATAAACAGACTGTGAGCGCAGATGTGAGACCATTTTGTATGGCTGAAAAATACGGGTAAGGACTAGTTCCAGGTGGAATAACACCAGCGTCGAGAAGTAACGTAAAGAATGTGAGGAGCATATATATATAGAAGAAGCTTGTGATTTCTTTCCGGCCTGTAAGGTGTCGCGTTAGTCTCGAACAACTCGATATCCCCCCCAAGATGCACTCCGGGCTGACTTACCAACAGCAGTAAATTTGCTCCTTACGTGCAATATCATGATAACGGTCATGATTAGCGCCATGATATGCACGAAACTTGCGGCTCCTTGAAATATAATCGTATTGGCTAATTCAATATTGCGCGAATAGCAATTTGCCTCGATGCCATGACTTCCCGCAATCGTTTTTATCGCTCCCACCTCTGCACATAATGGAAGCGCTGCTTGTTCGCAGATGGAGTAAAAGTCCCCGAAACCCATCGTAGCTTATATCGTTGTCGTTCGACGTTGTTAGAGATGTTTTGAGGAGGTTGGAAATCGAATGTTATCGAAATACGAGGAATCCGCGGAACGATGGTGTGATTATCGATTTTCGTAAAACTGCAATGAGTGAATGTATATGTAGCGACAATAAAACTAGCGATCGTAATTGTGTAGGTCTAAGTTATTCTATCGATGTTTTGATGAGATGCAAAGATTGTGGATGTTTGAATGATGGAGAGTCGTTGCGACCAAGGGGGGGAAGAATGCACCAATAGCATTGATTAGTCTTGAACATCTCGTATGTCCCTAGCAACTATTTTCTCGTTGGCGGCGAAACCAATTTTCAACCGACCAAAAATAGAATGGAAACTTCCTACCTCAGGCAGGAAGTTCTTCTGAATGTATAATCACGTGATATTCACGTTATATCAATGTCAGACTTCAAGGACACCAATAGTTAAAAGATTTTAACCCGTTTACATGTATTCATTTTTGGTTGAGTGTGATTTTTGGGTATTTTACAGTAAACATTTTGATGACAAAAGTGTAACGACATTGCTAGTAATACAACCGGCCTACCATCGTTTCACCTCAAGTAGTACACTCTCATTTCGATAAGTCACGAATTACACTCAGTGAATACCTACAAATTCCCTGTGGGACCAAGCATGATTAAAGAGGATGATTTGGGAAGCTGTCAAGCCTAAAAGACGGTGGTGTCATACATCCTATTCCCATATTAAAATGTATGCGGCAATCTCAACTGTAATATCTTGGCTACAAAGAACAAATCTTTGCTTTCGGTTTTCGGGATCATTCGTACAACGGGCGGTACGCGGCGTATGTTGTTTGACATACAACAGACATTTGGCTGGCCGGATGTTCCTCTGCCACCTCCCCATATCAGACAGAACATATACGAGGCTAGATATTTGATGAGAAGTCGGCCTTTTTTCACATAGTACCTGAGTTCCAGTCGATGAGACTTTCCTGGGCACGCGCATATCATGATGACTCTTGATGATGTGTGCATAGTGATAGTAAGACCCTTAGTCCTTCATTCATTTAAGACATCGGCCTGATTGCTGAATGCAAGTTTGAACCTCGAGAGTGGAAGATTATCACTTTGAAAATCCCATCTCACGAGGCGCGGCGATCCGGCTAAGATGGACTAAATTTTGTGATGTGATATATGTGTCGGACATGGTTTCTCAATCAAATGATCCAGAAGGTTTGGCGTCGATGGTTAGGAAACATGTGTTAATTGCAAATTCAAATTGCTGCTGAATTGCTGATGAGGATCCAGTTTTCAACCTAGAGATGTTACCTGGTGTTGGATGTGCGGCCTTTTGCATTGATTAGATGCAATAGCGACAGGGGGTTCAATTTGCACCGGAGGACATGCTAAACCTACCGAGCAGGCTTGTATTCCTTCCTTCCCGAGTCTCCTTTCAGTTCAGCCAACTTTCAAGGACAGCTTGTCTGCATATGACCGGTGAGCTGGATTACAACCTTTGCAAGCTTAGGTAAGTTCCAGCAGTAGAAGGAGACGGGAAGAAAAGATCTAGTCTACCATGTTGTTCGGTGGGGGGCTTAAAGGAGTAGCATGACAGGTTATTGTGTGTAACATTGAGAGGAAAAAGTTGGTTAATCTTTGATGAGTAGCTTAAAAGCAAGCACAGCCGGTAAAGAACACGAATGACTTGTCGCTTTTTGAATGATAAACACCGCGGGCAAGTATGTCTGCATGCGCCGTCGAACAAGCTGACCGAGCAGATCGCCCATTTCTGCGGTTCTGTATCTTTTACAATATTACGCGGGCATGATAATATAATACAAGCCACAGGATGCTATGATATGGGGCGTGAGTGGTCGGCAGCATAGAAGTCTTAAAATTGCAAGATCAAATGCTGATTCCATGATGTCGTGAATTTTTCCGGATAACTGAGTGCATGATGCCCAAGTCCAAAATTCGTGTAGGCGTTCCTCAGCCTGGTCTAGCTTTATTGATACCCTATTCGAAACGATTCCATGTTGGAAAATGGTGAGCATCCCCATCCCATTGGTAGTACCCGAGCCCAAGAAAGTATATCGTAATGATACTCTTGGGTATGCCGAAGTGTTTTCACGATAGTGTAGGATTGGAAAGGGGCACACTTCCGTAACCGTCACATCCAAGTCTAGACACAGGCGGTGCTACCATACAAAACAACGATACTGTACCAGACAAAGCTGTAGACCGAGTTGTAGACCGAGCGTACTTGTGTAGACTTTGCATTTGGGTATGCCAATGATCATACCAGGAGGTAGAAGTTATCAGTCGATCGATAGTGTCGCAGGGCATGCAAGATTGATTGATCATTCATGACCATACTAGGTTTGACCGTACCGGGTAAAATGCGTATTCAATTTCTGGTGTTCCGTTTGCATCTGTTTCGTCCACTTTGCTTCCCACTTTCAAGCTGAACAAGAGAAGCCGGAGTTTATCATGCTTGGGGATATATAAAAATGATCCCAGACAAAAATTGACCAAAGTTTGAAAGATGCAAAAGGCCAATCCCACTCTCCCCACACTAAAATGAGAAAAACGAACGGTCTACAACGCTTGTGGCCATTCATCTGCAGTAAGCCAGCCATCCACAAAGAAAAGAAGAAAAAACCATGCCAAATCTTGAAAATGGCAACGGCAAGGTAGGTAATTTACTTGGGTCCTTGGTCCTTTCATGTCCTTTCATATGCAATGGCTATTGTAATCTTTTCTTTTCTGAAGATCTGATGGTTTTTTGTCTCCGATTACCAATTCGGTGATGACGAAGTCCCTCGTATACCAACACTAGGTAGATGCAGATTGTCCTTATTTTGCCTAGATTTACAACTAATAATGGCTCCGGTGATAACCATATATCGAGTACGGAGTACAAAGTCAATGAAGTAGTCGCACAGTCATTAGACTCAAACTCTGGATGGAGAATTGAGGTCTTTTGCCCGTCAATGGTAGTTGGCAATTAATCATGATGTTGAAAATCCTTGACCAAGTAAGACGAGTAGAATTCTCTTTCCCTGCTAACTGCTAACTAGCTACTTTGGAATCATTATGAATTTATGATGCAAGCTAAACCGAAACCAAGGGAAGTCAGTGTTAATTATTACTCTACAGAGTATAAATGTATAAATAAATATATATAGATAGATACATACGCATTTATTCATTCAAACAAACACCTCTCTAAAAATACTAATAATCGGCTATATTTCTAGGCTTACAGCATATTCTGCCGTTGCCCCAATAGCCCCCACCAGAGTTCGGTGTCGCTAAGACTTTTCCTTTACAAGTCCCAAAATACGAAATGTCATCGTGATGTACGAAGTATGTGATATCAATATGGAACCTTGGATTAAAGTTCTGATGATACGTAGGCAATTTTGGTTATATCTTATCTAAAGCAGGAATGAGCTAAAGTAGAGGTCTCACCATGCTAGATGAATTGCTCCTTTCTATTCTATTCGATCAGTGAGCGTCACGCTTGAGTCTTGACGCTTCGGATTCAGTTCGCATGCATCATCCATCCATCCATCCATCCATCAATGCCCCAAATCATGTCATTCCTTCCAAATCCTCTCCCCCTCATTTTGAACAAACTTCTTCTAGAATGGAGGCGGTGAAGTAATAACCCCTAATTTTGCATTTACCAAGAGAAGGATAGTGTAGAAAGTATGGATAAGTATGGATTTGATCCAATCACACATATTTCCAGCACTAGACAAGGATAAGTTGGAAAGGCTGTGCCGCAGCCGGGTCCGGGAAAAGGCTCTTTTTGAGTTGTGCTCCAGATTTCAAGGTTCTCATTCAATATTACTGGATGCATCCCTTTGAGCCTTCACCCCACCACCTGAAGAAAGGCTTGAGGGTCGCATGAGCTGTAACGCGAATTGAGTGGAGCATTGGACCGCGGTTGACGATCAAATCATCAATTCAATTTGTGATAACTTTCGTAAAAGCGTGTGTTCCAACTTCCGAGAGAGAGAAAAAAACGGCACGCGCGGACATGTGCCTGTGAAGAGCAACAAGGACAAGTCAGACTAATTTCCAAAGCACCACGCTCTTACAGGCAAAGCAAGGTGAAAGCGGAGGCAGGCTACGGAGAAACATAGGAAACGGAACGGGAGTACAGCGATGGTGAAGTTTTAACCAAATGGAAATATGCGCCGTCCTCGGTCCTCCTCAAACCTAACCTTCCAAGTTATTTTCTAGATGAAGGAATCCATGGAACATTGGAATTGGAACCAAGAAGGTTACTTTATGCTCTATGACTCAGACTAAATATGCCACGGCGACACACAAGCAAGAAAGTCTAAAATAAAATCCTTAAAGGGATCACCAAGAACCGACGATATGACACACTCTCTTCTTTCATCGCAGTTACCTATTTCCGCCCCCGCTCTGCATACACCAAACAGGACCGACAAGCAAGCAGGGAAGTAGGTAAGTAAGTAAGTAGTTGGACACAAAACAGTGGCAGCGGGACAAATTTGTTCATGCCGTCCGGCTTTGCCAAACCAAACCATGCCATATCCAACAACAACAACATCGAACTCAACCCCCAGCAATACATTAATCACATAGCGTATTATTATTTATGCACCATGCTCTTCTCATATCATCATCCGCATACGGCATGTAGGACGTAGGTGCAGGAGATAGTGAAGGAAAATGGCGGGCGGATAGACGATATGCTCAGATGATTAATGGAGCATAGCATAGGTAGGTGTAGGTAGCAGGGTTACGATGCTAAGACAGGTGAATCTGATGTTGGTTCGACGTATTTGAATCGTATTCCAATCGCCATCCGTTTAGGATCTCACCCATATCACTCCTAAACTTGGCTAACAAGTAGATACCCTATCTAAATCCGGTGGTTGTTCGCCGTTTTGCACAACGAATTACGTGAAGAGATAAACGACTTCATTTCTAAAAGTAAATCACCGCGTAAGGAAGATGTTATACCGAGTACATACTACATATGAATGTACACATGCTATTAATGATGGAGCACAGAACAAATTGATTGATGCCGTACGGTATATTGATGAAGGGCTAGTCATTAGAACCGGTTTGACTTGGGTTATTATTGAGGAGACCAAGATAGATTTTACTTGGGCCCAACAAATGAAAGATTGCCCCTCCTTCTTAACTTCCCCACCAAAACTCCCTTATTCATTCTCCATCTAATCATCTACAGAGACGGAGACGGAGTAACAATCTAATCATCATCAAGTCTCACACATTCATAAAACTCCCCTTCCAGGCTTCCACATACAGTAGATAGATACGCGCTACACAAAAATAGGTCACGATTCTTCTCGCGATATCTTGCGAGTCGCGTAAAGTGGAAAAAGCGGACTCAGGATTGTTGTGCCAGGGTGTTAAATTTTCTTTGGTGGTGGTGGTGACGGGAGCTGCACGTAACAAATTCAGAATCTAGAACCTTTTTCACCCCGTACGGAGTACACACTACACCGGCTTTTCTTGTTTGAAAAATGGTAGGCGAGCGAGTTACAAGAAAGGTCTTGATCATCAGCAATATTATGTGTTAGCAAACTTACACATTACTTGTACTGTACTGTTCGCAGCTTTTCATCTTCTGTCCCCTTCCTTGCAACTTATCATGTCATGTGTATCTCCACCTCACCTCACCTACCTGGTGTACCTAACCTTTTGATGATAGGGTCTTCTTAGCAGCACCGCCCGCCCAACGGCTAAGCACGAAAAAAGAACCTTGAAGTTCTTGAACCAATCTACTTTTGGCTTTTTTGCCATTTAGATGATTACACTGATCACTGATTACAGCCATTTATTACCTACATTACGGAGGCTTTGCTGGGACGGAATCAAAAAAAGTAAAGTAACACGAGAAGTTCAAAATTCGATAATCATACCTTAAACCAGGATCGATACCAATGGATTGTAATTTATTAGACGGAACCCTTTTCATTCTCCATTCTCCATTTTCCTGCTGGAAATTGATGGAAGGAATGATGGATGATTGCTTGATTGATTGATTGATTGATTGAATGATGAACAAACACACAAAATTTGGAGCTGCATTCTCCCCCTTGAAAAAGTGTGTTTCGAACAGAGATCATCAGATTAATAGCTGCACGGTAAGGTACCGGTACTTAACCTACTTTTACTGTGGTAACTATACTATATGTAGGTAGGTAGGTAGGTAGGGGAGTGTAGATGGATGATAATTAAATTATAATTTGCTTGTATGTACAGCTGTACCGTGAGCAATATATACGGAGTATAGCGAAATGGTTATGGTATTTTACTGCTACGGTATTATATTGGTAGGTATCGTAACGAGTGACCGTGTGCATATTCGCATACACCGGCCAATGCCCCAGCTGACGAACCGGATGAGATGGATCCATCATGGTTGTAGGATTGAAATTTGGTGAAGGGGTGGGCGGCGCGCCCGTCGGACTTTTGGGAAAAGAGAAATTCAGCCACAAAAAGCGTAAGTCGTAGCGTGGTCTCCCAGAATCACGGGTCAAAATTAGGAATATGTGCCGATGGATGATGGTTTGATGGATGATCATGGAAAAGTCTCATCTCTGATCTCTGATCTCTGATCTTTTTTTCTCACATTCACTCTCACTTGCTCACAAAACACAGCCTGGCTGACACAACACAGAATAAGTCAGGCCATAGGTGGCCCCTTGTCGGAGGGTACTTGCGGATCATGTTTGATATCTTTGACTCAGTGACTGGGAGGAATTTGCTTATACTGCCTCAGCAGGGCATGCCTTGCTTTACATAGATGAAAACCTTTTTTTTTTTTTTCAATTATCATCTAGGGCTGTTGGGTAGGTGAGCGAAAGGAAAAGGAAAAAAGTACCTAAAGTTTGGCACCAATCATATATGTGAGGAGTTAGACAAGTGGTGGAACAAAGAAGTCTGCAGCCTGGAAGCCCGGAAACGAATCCCCTCCCTTCATCGATAATGTGAATTTTGGGATATGTGATTTGGTTTGATTTCGATTATGGGATTCCGAGCGTCGTTGTCAGTCGTCTGCATGCGAAGGTATGTACGTAGACAGACCTAAGAGTCTTTACTATTGGTTAGGGGTTTTTTTTTGAGGGAAAAAAACAAACGGAACGCTTTTCTTGCTTGGCCATTGGGAAGGTAGTAGGCTACATAGCTTGAGAGTAATCCGTAATCCTGATTATCCTAGAAACATTTCATCTCCTTGGTCCATTCTTGCCGTGTTGTACTTTTGTACCAATGCCATGAAAATCCAAAATGGTAGGTTTGATCAGAGTCAGAAACCTTAAGCGTAACGCTAGGTGTCAATAAATGGAATGCACACTGTTGATACATTGACATATTTTTACCAAAATTACCAATCAGATTCCATCACAACCCTCACTTCGTAATAATAATTTGATCAATTATGATCATCTTTTTCATTCCTTCACTCCTTCTTCATACTAGTGGATTTAGATGGCCTGGTATCATTTCTATCTTCATTCTTACATTTATTAGTGCACAAGCACAAGTCTCATCTTAACGACCAATCATGGTGAGAGCAATGGCGACACACGAAAGCTTCTTGCATTTTGGGGCACTCTTCGGCGCCGCCAGGGCTCCTAGCCTGCCTAGCACCGCAACTGGCAAGGCTTTGATCAACCACATAAATCCGTATTGGCCATTGACACTATCACTCCGTATATATACCACAAGAAGGGAACCGACTGGCGCTTGCGAATTTTCACACTCAGTGGATGATCCAGGTCCAAGCCCATGACATGTAAGCATTGATGATCCCAGTTTCATTCTCTACCTCGAGGGGCTTGCTTGATGGAAATTCCAAGACCGAAAGGGTAAGACTAAACCTGCTTCTGACTTTCTATGTGCGTGCCAAACAGAGTGAAATGCAACATTTCATTTCTGCTGCACTCACTGCTTTCCATCGTTCCACGCGCTGCGCTCCACCACAAAGACATACGGAGTACACTAGGCATAGGTAGGCCATCACAGCGAGGGTGCTGCAAACATCCCCGCTCCCTGTCATGTTGCCCAAGTGCCCTCGTTCAAAATACATAGGTGTTGCTCAGCTTGGTAATGGAGTCGGTGGCACATGGATTATATTTGCAGTACGCTCGTTGCATATCTATCCATCAAATTTTACTTGGAATTCTTGATTTTTACTCTACAGGCGAAGTATGTGGATATGTAGTAATTGTATTAATATACATCGGGACGTTTCGGTACTGGTCGATATTTACCTCCAATTAGAAGAAAGGAATAATAGATTTAAAAGATATCACGAATACCGAAAGAGTAATAATGTATCGAGCTAAAGTCAAACTCAATTCGATCTGTTGGAATTCTAGCCGATTCTATAGGTCAACCTAAGGATTTGTCCCAAAAGAATCGCAAAAATGCCACTTTAGAATGCCAATACATTTTCAGTCAGAAAAGCCGAGTGCCGCATGTCCGTCTCTTCTCAGACACGAATAGAACATTAGGTCTGGACTCTGGACTCGATCTATATCGTACTTTGCTAGATACACTACATTCAATGTATACTGCCACGCAAACTTTTGCAAGCCGGCTTGCCACAGCCAATCAAACCGTCCAGCACGGCCAGAGAGACAAAACATAATGTGATGCAATCAAAAGTCAATGGTGCGGAGCAAGAGAAGGAAGGGTGAAGAAGTAGTAAATGATTTATCGGCCAATAGTAAGTTTGATTCAAGACAGCCAGCCTCAAGGGAAAGTATTTCCATGACTTTTTATGATATCCATACCTCCACCTCGAATCTATACAAATTTCACTCCCATTCCACAAACAAATACTCCACACAGATATGATTTATGGATATAATATGATTTGATTGGCTTTTCTTCTTTTTTACTAGACGTACACACTAACCTTTAGTTATGCTTTGGCTTTTGTTTTAAAAAGCCTTAGAAGAGCTATTCTAAGTTCTAGTACAAAGCCCTCATTCTAACCCTATCTCAACCATCTCATAATCATGTACATTTTCTCATAGGTGGCCTATGTATCCCTGTTACAAAATCCCCGAGAAATCCTAATCATCCATCCATCATCAATCATATATAATAAAATTTAATCCTAGATACCTATTCCCGGCTGATAGCTTTACTCTGTACATGGCACTAGCTAGCTAGCTGCCCTAGCACAAAAGCCCTTTCTCTAATATGTGTACTGTGCATAGATAGGTATTACTGTATGTGTCTAATAGACTAAATAGACTAATGTGGAATCTCTTGTAGTAGGAAATCCTTTTCTTCGCTGTATTTATTTTTTCTTCCTTCTTCTTTTCTTGCAGATGTAAGGCTTGAGTGCCTCCCTAAATCCAAAAAAAGGACTGATTTATTTTATCCTAGTCAGTCATACATACACCCACCACCAAGCAGCCTAGGTTGAGGTTGAGGGAGGGTGTGTGTGTGTGTGTTATTCTTTTTCTAATTTTCTAACTATGCTAATAACTAACTCTCTGCTTTATCTTATCCACATTCATTCATTCACTCACTACCTTACCTTACCTTACCTAACCTTACTCCTCTCTCTCCTTGAGTCCTGACTCCTTGTACCTGGCTCTGCCTGTGACATCAATGAATGAATGGATGCTTCAATCAGCCTCCACTTTCTTCCAGTACCATATTTCCATATTTCCATTTTCAATTTCCATTTTCATTAACCCTTTGTCTCTCGTACCGTACCATACCATACCAGACGAGACAAGATCCCAATCCCCCATACCAATGATACTAATTACCATTGCGTATCTAATACAGATTCAATCCTAGTTGATTCTTTTACATATCGGCCAGTACTCTGCCTAGGTATTATTCCGATATTTCACATTATTCGTTCCTTCTTTCATAGTCTCTCTTGATCCAACGTCTCCAATTTTTACATCCATATCCAATACATTATTTGTTATAATTGTTTCCTTAGCACTTCAATCACATCATCAAGAATTTCCAATTCCAATTCAATAACTTCTCATATATCTCACAACTCTTAAGAGACTTTTTTCTGTTTCTCCTTACTTTTCCTGGCTTGAGATTTATCTTTCAACCCAAACTTCAATATTGTATTCCTTGACTTTTGCTACTCTCAAAGTTTCGATTCGTTTAGGAAAGCTTCCTTAATAGCAACCAACTCCTTCCTCATTGAAAATACCAATTCACTTCACGCACTACTCTACTCTACTCAGGTTTACTATACAAATTACCGATCAGCAGCCGCCCACTAACTGTCTCTTCGACCTCTCTCGTTCAACACTACCCACCGGTCCGTTCAATTTTCTCTACAGTAGGATTGGCGGAGATTTCCATGGCTCCCCAAATAGCTCGATTTTAAGGTTTCTAGTCCATCTTCATCATCAACTACCGCTGGGAGCCTTCAGGGAAATTCGCAGAGTGTATCAGCAAATACTTGGGAAGAGTCGATAGTTTAAAGCAACATTTGAAATTGCATCATCTCCACCGGAATTCTCCCACCATTATACCTCGAGCACCTTCCGATCAACAACCCGCACTCCTCCAAAAGATATATTACTTAAACCTCTAAGAATCAACACACACACACTCATTCCCCAATGCATCAGACTTCAGTTAGGCCGGCTCCGTTCAGTTTCCTTTTACCTCCCACGCCACAGACTCCCTTTGGAATCGATCGTAGGAAGGACGTTGGATTCCCTCTCACACTCCCACAAATCAATCAGTCGGGATACATAGAAGCTCCGGTTAGAGTTGGGCTTCGAACTCCACCTGAAGACGACATGCATGCAACATATCCAGGACCGCCATATCCTCATTATAAAGGTCGGCATAATGAGACCTGCACAGAGTCTTTGAATTTCAATAGGGCAAGCGATCATGATGGATCAGCTACTCAATCTAGAATTTCACAAGCACCCGGAGACTCAGTACACAGAGTAGCTAAGATTGTTGAGCCCTCTCAAGCAGAGCAACCTTATAATTGGCCAACAGTAAAACCCAAGCATACATCCGAATCCTTCTACGCTACTGCCCTGACAACCCTGGAGTCTGAATCTACTCGAAAGCCGCAAGCAAAAAAACCAAATACAGACACTATTCATCCTAGTCTGCAAATACCAAAATCAATAAATGACAGTGGCGGAAGTTTGGCCGAATTCGCTGCACAGGTAAATTACAATTCTTGATATTTGTACTCAATTATGAATATGGTCTGACTTTTACTAGATTACTTGTTTGTTCTGGTTTGAATCTACCGATACATTGAAGAGGGCTGAAAATTCATGGGCAGGATCAACGACCATAGAAAGACTGCGACCAGAAGCGTTCCCGTCTGTCGGGTTTACAAAATGGGTTGTCACGATTCTCATGACCACGCAGGTCTCGCAGAATGTGATATTATTGGCGCTACTTTTCATTTACCGTCTGAAATCCATTAACCCAGTAGTTAAGGGGCGAAGTGGAAGCGAGTACAGACTCTTAACAGTGGCATTGATGCTGGGCAACAAATGTGAGTCAATAGTGATATATGGACCACGAAAATCTTTACTCACAATACAATAGTTCTCGATGACAACACATATACCAACAAGACATGGGCCGAAGTTTCGGGAATCTCTGTCACTGAAATCCATATAATGGAAGTCGAATTTTTGAGCAACATGCGCTACAGCTTACTCGCAACTGAGGATGAGTGGAAGGAATGGCAACGGAAGCTTGGGAAATTCGGGAGCTTTTGTGATCGGGCCGTAAAATTATCACCTCCACCCATGTACCAGCCGACCCTGCCCTCTCCTCCTGCGTCAATGCAAGCTTCGTCTCCGACACAAACGAGTCAATATGCATCCCCAGCTGGATCATACAATCTTACTCCTCAGTGGCCTGCTATTAGCAACGCCGCTCAGTTGGTGTCGCCACTAACAACTGCTTCAACCCCTTCCGACCAGGATTTCCACGCGAATGCAAAAAAGAGAAGTTTCCTGGAAGATGCTGAAGAACCGGTAGCAAAGCGTGTGTCCAGGTCAATAACCTCAACATCTAATTGCCTTCAAGACTTCAACATGACTCCTCGACCTCGTTTACCGCCCGTACCTAATTTGACGATCTCGACAAACCAAGCGATGAGCGGTAACAACGGCCTGCCAAGCTTTTCTCAAAACGCACCAACTTTACCTCCTTTGAACATTAATCGAGCCATGTCCACAGTCTATCCAACTACTCCGACTTACCCACCACCTATTTTAAGTCATACCCTTTCTGGGTCACAAACTAGTGGATCACAAGTTGCTGCATATCAACACAACAATCAAATTGTTGGCACCCCATGTGGCCAACGTAGTCCTCGTTCAGCCGTCCAAGAACTACTTGCATCAGTTCCTTCCCCACTCAATGCATCCTTTCCTGGAACTTCGGGTCACATTTCACCATCTGTTTTCTATCAGCAAAGAAACTCGCCCTACAAGCCTATTCGCCACGTGAATACCCTCCTCTATCCACCACCATCTACCTCGATGCACGATTATGCAGTCAACACAAACCATATGCACTATCAACCATTGGGCAAGAGGCATGATTACCGATCTGGTGTTGTACCAGGATATGGCCATCAATCAGCCAATCAATGGCCTGTACTACCTCAACCCAACTTTCACGGAGTATAAACTTCAATTTTGTCGACGAAATACTATTAATGTGAAGATCAATTTTCCATAATTTTAGTCTCTTAAAAATAAAAGAAAGTTGAATAAATCCTTTGAGAAAAAAAAAAAAGGAATTCGCATCATAGGAGCATCTTAGCCACGGCGTTTTATTGTTTATTTTGGGTTTTTTTTCATTCTGGAAGCGGCGGGGCTGGTATCGCATATTTATTAGCAAGCAGCTGTTATACCATTATTGCATGTATCAAGACTGGTGTTTTGGGAGTCCCTAAATTAAGAGGGAATTGTATTTTTTATTCTGGGATTTTGATGTTTACTTCATATGAAGGGAGGGAATTATTCAACATTGAAAAGACGTTGTTCGGATCCACGGAACACACAGGATTTGTGTGAATTATGATTAGTACAAGAAGGAATCAATGAAATGAATGGGGGGAGGGGAATGAATCGGGAAAATCCGCCTGTAAGGAGATGAGAAGATGCTTCTGTGATGGGATTTTGGGAAATGGTACCCTCATTTGAATCGGTATATCATTGCCTTGAGTTTTATGATTACATACGGTATGGGTTTCGCTTGATGGATGGGATGGATGTGTTAGATATATGTATGGTACGTAATGTGTGCGTTGCTTTGCTAGTTTGCCTCTGCATACACAATTCAGCAATGCTGTATGTGGCTGGCTGT